GCAGATTGTATATTTTAAAAGATTACATTTTATAAAATATATTCGATGAAATTAATATTAAATTATTAACTTTTATAATATTAAGTTTTCACATTTCCAAATTCGATGTTTCTTAGCTTTAATTAATTAAAAGAATATCATTTTACAGCCTAAATTATGTAAAATTTATAAAACTTCTTTGGAGATAAATCTTTAATATCATATAGAGGGTGTATAAAAAATACCGGGACGGTGAAATATCTCGAAAACTAAGCATTTCAGAAAAAAATGTTTCAGATAAAAGTTGTAGGATTTCAGAAGCTCTATTTACTGACGCTATGAGTTTAACCTTAGGTGGCGTCGCCAAGATCAGAGCAAGATTACATAGAATTTTTTAAATGGGATCCCTTATTTTTTATTGCATATTCTTGCAGCTTATCTCGAGAGTTTTCCAAAACACTATAATTAAGTTAGTTTTTATTAAATACTTTTCGAGTTATAAAGCTTGAAATAATTTCTTAATTTTACATAAACCGTAAAATATCTTGTAAAATATTCATTTTTCGATTACTTTACCTTAATACTTTTATGTACAAAATAATGAGAGGAATCAATTGATGTAAAGAAAACACATAGTTGTTTCGAAGAAAAAATATATAATTTGTAACAATTACCTGTTAACAATTACCTACTTTTTCTTCAAAACAACTATGTGTTTTCTTTACACCAATTGATTTCTCTCATTATTTTGTACATAAAAGTATTTAGGTAAAGTAATCGAAAAATGAATATTTTATAAGATATTTTACGGTTTATGTAAAATTAAGAAATAATTTCAAGCTTCATAATTCGGAAAGTACTTAATGAAAATTAATTTAATTATAGTGTTTTGAAAACTCTCGAGATAAGCTACAAGAATATGCAATAAAAAATAGGGGGTCCCATTTAAAAAATTCTAGATGACCTTGTTCTAACTTTGGCGACGCTACCCAAGGTTAAACTGATAGCGCCAGTAAATAGATCTTTGAAATCCTACAACTTTTATCTGAAACATTTTTTTCTGAAATGCTTAGTTTTCGAGATATTTCACCGTCCCGGTACTTTTTATGCACTCTGTGTATAATTTTCTTATGAAAACATATAAGTTATATATTTGTTAAAAATATATAATTGAATTATTATAATTAATTTTGTAAATTAATTGTGAGATTGAGGTCAACTTATAATTTTACGCCGAATGGTGATTTTCTTTTTATTCAATGAATTCGTGAAAAAAAGCTTATTGCACAATATAAAATATAAAAATATATATCGTGACGTCCATAGAAAAAAGAGGATTAATGGATGATTTTAACGCAAAAGAGAAACGAATAATAAATGATTGAACAGTTTTTCGTGGAAGCGACTACAATAAAAATGCCTTTTAACGCTTTTATGAGTTAAAAATATTTCTTTTTCAGCTTACATCTCACCCGTACAATGAAAAAGCCGGTCGGTAATAAAACTGAGCTTACAACGAGCACCGGCAAAGTCGTGACTATTTTGAGAGACGCGCTAACGAGATGTTACTCGCTTCGTAGCAAGGCTGGTGATGTTCGCATACCAGAGGTTGGATACAAGACGAAGTGGACGTGACTATTAAACATGTAATTTTTTTGCGCACTAAAAAAGTTATGGATGAAATTGCTATTGTATTTTTCCCTTAAAAAATATTATTTTTTAAAATAGATGTAAAGGGTAACATTGGAAAAGTTATATTGCTGTTAATATTAGCCGTTTAATCGTTTAATCTAAGATTATTGTAAAACTTTGAATTACAATTGTAATGATAAATTTCTCGAACAATTTATTAACAACGATATGTTGTTAGAAAAAAAATTTGAGATTTTAGTACCATTCGCTGTTTGTAATATGCTATATTGATTTATAAACAATTTACAGCAATCTCGCAACATTAAATTCTTTATAATATAATTCAATTCTTATGATATAAATAAATTTGCAACCTTCAGTACCAAGATAGCGCATTGCTACGGCGAAGTAAGCCGAGCAGTTTATCTCACAGTTAGTGTCACCTGCAAATTCCGCCGAGAGAAAATCCACAGTTAGACACTCACACGTCGAAATAATGACTTGAATAATTATTATATTTCTCAACATTAGCTAACCGCAAGTGGCGTCGAAATTCATCGTCTGCATCGTAACACTATTTTGGACGAAATCCATGACAATGTCAAATTTTCTAAGTTAAAAGTTCTCTCTCTAGTCTTAGAATTCTAGTATCTGAATCATCGATGACGATCGCTACGCGAGACTCTGTTGAGAGAATTGGCAAGAAACAGTACCGTGAGTCATCCTTTCCCGGGAAAGAAGAGTGATCGAATCAATGATCATTGAGTCTTAAATGGACGATGACTACAGTTTTGAAAAACCGCCTCACACAAGAGAACTCACCCATATATTTTCATAATGTATTATAAACACTCAATGTAAGATCGCATTAAAGAGTGACAAACAAATCCAAGCGAGAAAATACAAGTGTGACTATTGATTCATCAGTGACGTTTCGCAAGTCAGTGCCAAGAAAGCTGCGAATACACAGTACAATACACAATATACACAGTATAATTGCTCAGTTTGAAAGATGAAATGCATATTTCGCATAAATGATATGCGCATACCGAAAAAACTCAATTATCTTCAAACGAACTATTCTCTCTATAAAATACAAAATATTAAAATATTTATTTTATTTCTTTTTACCAAACCTATCACGAATTGAAAAGAAGCTTGCATACGTGTATTTTAATTTTTCATAATGCCATTTCTCCTTTCCATGCATTTTAAAACTACCTTTTTGTTAGAAACTTTTGTTAAAAAAATGATCTTTGTTTTGAAGCTATACATAATTTTCCGCAAAATTTCCCTTTACATTGTATGACATTTACGTGTCGTTAAATTTTAAGCGCATCATCATCATATGCGAAGAGAATATCTCAAACATTCGTGATAGCTCCGCAAACTCTCCGAGCGCGATTGAATTCTCGCGGATTTGCCATAGTAAGGACCGTTTAACGTGTTGCTTTCTATTCTGTTGACCGACGCCGTAACTTTTCGCTATTATATTCAATACAGAAGTATGATATCCATGAGCTTTCGTTTCAAAAAGCGTGCGATGCGACATGACCGCTTGTTTACCGAAGAGATTTTCGCGGCACACGTATATATTGTACACACATACAATATATTTATTCTCTGGCATGTATAACTCTACGTTGCATTTTAAATGCGTTCTCTATTATTGAGAAAAATAAAAGTTTTAATTTTGTTATTAAAATTTAGCTCTATCAAATTTATTATTAGAGATTAATATGTCAGGAAAAAAATAATGAGCAATTATTACAAAATTTATTTTTCTCTATACAAAATTTATTTTTCTAATAATCTCGAAGCATTACAATTAAAATGTAATTTCCTGACGATGACGAATTATATATTTTACTTTACTGAGAATCTCTACATATTATATATTTTACTTTACTGAGAGTCTCTACATATTGATTTTTATAAAGCTTCAAGCAATTTTTTTTGTGAAATTCCTATTATGGGATAAGCCCAACTTTCTCATGATTTTCATTTATTTTTCGGTAGGGGTTCTGCATGAAATAATCAAATGTCCTTCCCACGATATTTCTATAATGTAATAGCGGCTACCAGCAGGATGGGGCTGTATTGACGATTTTGTGAGGGAGCAAAGCAGATTCTGGGCTGTATAAAAATAGATTGTACTTTGTTGGCTTCAAATTGTAATATTATATAGTCAAATTTTTGAAATCCGAAGCTCCTTATATCTTCTGACGACAGTCTCACATAAATAAAACATTATTGCGATATATTATTGTTTAATTATTTTTTCCTTTCTTTATGAAACATCATCCGTTACGTTATTTTGACATGCTATCTCTCCTTGTGAAAGCATCATGCTATTTTCAGGCTTTGCAGAAAAGTACACGGAAATCCATTTATTTAATAAAATATTTCACACAAAATAATTTCAATAATTTTATAAATTATATATAAATATACATATATAGACATTTCCTAGAGTTACGAATTACTATATGCAAATTATGAAATTCATTAAATTTATTATTTATCATACAGTATATAAAATTTACTTCCACTAAAAGTCCATTTGTAATATTTTCCCGGAAAACCTTTTATTTATTCATTTTATTCGACAGTTGTATAAATATGAAAATTGCATTAAAGAATCGTGTCGAGAAAGAAGCAAAGAATTGCATATTTTACGAGATGCTCGAATAAACATAGATTAGAATGAACGCTCTAGTGTAAAAAAGAAATAAGAGAACAAATAAAGCTGCACATTAGCGTGAATTACATTTCGAAAGGTCGATTAAAAGTGATAGCTATCTCGTATTTTTCTAATAATGATTAAGTAATGTATATTTTCTATGTTAAATTATTGCAACAAAAAAATGTAAAGAATACATACATACACTGAATATACACACCCATATACACACCAATCATAATTTTAAAAAAATTAATACATTCAGAAATTCATATTGTATTCACACACTTAGAAAAATTATTCACGAGTTTAATTAGATGTTAAATAGAAATTATTATAAAAAATATCAGTAAAAATTAATGTATACAATTTTAGTATTTGCTCAGAAAAAGAAATTTTTTTGATAATGGCAATAAAAAAATTGAGTAAAGATTGAAGTTGGATTTTCTAACAAATTTTTCTTTATTTATTTTTGGATTATACTTTTTTATCGTATATTATTGCTTTAGACTTTTTTTATCGTATATTATTACTTTAGTCGAATTTTATTTCACTATATTATTTCTAAAAATCGTCGGGAAAGCGAAAAATTATATGGAATTCGCAACACGTTTCATTTTAAAATGCATAAGAGCATTGACTCAGCATTGCATCCACATTGCACGCTACCACCGGTCGAGATTCCACGAATATTCCACATCGTAGTTTTTCACGTTTCCCCCGCTTGTTGATCTTTTGCCACGTGATCATAGACTTTCCCTCTCCGCCATAGTGCTACCAGTTTAGAATAACCTGAAGCTCCGACATCCGTACCATTCGTGAATTTAATCTCGTATAGTTCGCGTCCTTGTGTATTGCCTTCGTAAGCCCCATCGAAAGCGCCATAAGCTTCATCATGGAAGTTGCCAAAGGTAGGCTTACAACAAATTGGATTTTACGTTTCAGACAGTTCTATTAAAATTATTACAGCTGCATTTATTTCTATTTTAGTTGATTTACAATTACACTCTTAATTAAAAAGATCTCTCGCGCTTCGCATTTTATTTCAAATAGCTTAACTTTCGATAGATTTATTAATAAAAAATAATAAGAATTAATAAAAATTATTAATAAATAATGCTTGAGTCGGACAAATTTTTTATTAAATATGATAGTTTCATATACGCAATTTCAGATTCTTATACAAAGATAAGAAATATCATAATCTCGAGTAATAATGTGCATAATTTTTACGACTTGCAGATATCTATTATAGTAATATTATCTCTTTTATTTTTAATCAATTTGACAAGCTCGCATAGATTCTGTATTTATTCATAATATATAATTAGCTGTGATCATTTCTAATATACGTATATTATCTATTAATTGATTCCTCCATTACTTATTTATTTTATATCACTTTTCACACATCTCTTATTATAATTTTAAATTTACGGTAAATTATATTCCTCCTATTTTCAGATATAAATTATTCGCTTCAAACCTATTAACCATGTTACAAGTCCTTAAAAAAATGTATACAATAAATAAAACTGTCTATCAATCTTTTTATACAAGTAATTCAAAAATCTTTTAAGTATTCAATCCGATCGTGTGAAAACTATGTGATTCTTTCAGTGAACGATTCGAACAGCAGCCTCGTCGAGCAATCAATGAATATAACGTCAGCATCAAAATCTGTCTTGGCGGAAAAATCTGTACAAAGTATCCAGACGAAGTCAGTCGTAGAGTCATCGACCTCGATTAAATCCGTCACTTCCTCATCCACCAGATCACACCAATCGATGGAATACGAGGAAACGATCGAGTATAACGATTAGTGTAATTAGAAAATAACATAAATCCTCTCAATAAAAAAAGACTTGACGCAGGGAAAAGCTAAAAACGCGATAAGATTCGGCTCAATTTGATTCATCATTTAAACATTCATCCTCGAACGCTACTTGACGCTATTCCTCCTGCGAAAAAAATAATCGTATCATATCAAAAATAATAAATATTACTCAAAATCGTAAGAAAACGTCGAAGAAAAATTAACGATGGAATTCCGTGACCTCTTCTCCAATTTCGACCTCGAAGATCTACGATCGATAATCGAGCGGAAGAGTCAAATCGACCGATTCAGGCGTTCAGTTGCAGGGCTGTGCACCGAAATAACAAGTCTGTCGCATGCACGGTCTATGCAGCAATGCGACGAGAAGAAATTCCACGAGTCAGAGGAGACAGACAAGAAGAAATTGAAAATGTGCCCGTGAAGGAACGTTCAAAAGCCTCTGGCTCTCATCCAATCGATGTGGTTCGCCGCCAATTCAACTTTTTCTTCTTTCTTTCAAATTTTTTTTTCCTAATCGACTCATCGCTGTCGATCCTCGAATAGATCGCTTGACATGTGTGACTACTCATTTATCTTTGTATAATGAAGTTTTTAAGACATTATTAACGCATTTGTTCATTGACCCTTTTTCACTTTTTAATAATTTATAATTAACTATCTTATTTATTAACTCATTCTTCCTAATTTATTAAATATGTTCATAAATAAACTACTTAAGATATACATATATAATATAAATATAAATTGACATAAAAATGGATTATACTCGTATTTAATATTTCCATATATTTTAAATATTTGCGCATATTTAGATGGAAATTAAAAATTAAAAAAAAAATATTTCCATTCTTATATTTCTTAGATTTTTTAGAAGCTAATATAAAACTAATATATGTATATAAAACTAATGTATCAATGATGAGACAATTCTAGTCGTGACACCAAAAGAGCAATAAAGTTCTATGGCATTAGTTAGCACAAAGCTAATACCGAAAAAATTTAGAAGGAGGTAGTCTGAGGAATAACTTATTATATGTTACTAAATGTATAATAATGAATCGCAACCTTCTCATATCATTTCTTTTCTCTTTCTTTCTTTCTATTTCTCATTCTTTGTACTCTTTCATAATAATACTAAACCGAGCTGATACGTACGACTATGGCCTGGCAATGATAGGGAGAACTGTGTCGAGGAAAGGAAATATAATTTGAGGGAAGACGGATATCGAGGATGGTAGGGCGATAAAGAGAAGCTATCAAGGGGAGGGGGAGACACCCTTTTAAAATTAAATAATGCTCTTAATTGCTCTGCGGAACATGCAATAAACAACGATGAAAGTTTTAGAATCGCGCGCCAAGTTCAGTATAACACCCTTTAGAATTCACTGAGAAATAACTGTTTCCCAAGGGAAAGCGCGTATGGGAAAAAAGAGGGAGAAGAGATTGGGATCTTGGCACGGCGGTAACAGAACAGGGGTTTCAATATCCTGTCGTTCACGCAAATGGAGCAAATACTCGGGAGGATATGGGAATTCTCGAACGCTTTAGCAACTGCGGAACACGAATCGAATGATCCATGTGAAGCGTTTGCACTTTCGCATCTTCTAGCGAGTTGACTTCTGTTTGACTTCTGTTTCTCACGATTGATATACTTTAAAAATCCACATAAAAACTGATAGAAAGAGATGTTTCTTTGATCATGCGTTTTTTGATTGGACAGAATCATATGGTGGATTAATATTTGATGTGAGTAACCGCAATTTCATGAATTTATGATTACATCATTTTATATATATATATATATATATATATATATATATATATATATTCTTTACAAAAAACAATTGTTACAAATATTAAACATTAATTTTAGAATTTTCAAGTAGCTCTTCTCATATTTTATTTATATTATATTTATATCTTATAAAACAGAAAATCAAATCAACTACTGCATGCAAATTTTTATAGAAAATAGCATTAAGAATCATTAAGTTCTCCAATGTATATTTTACTTGAATTACATTTCTATCGAGTTTTAATATACTCGATCACAAAAGCGAGATGGATCGTTTACAGAAATCCTCGCGAAAGCAGGTCACATATATCATCGAGACAACTTCCATTCAGAAATTCTGCACGACGGAAAGAAATAGATCGCGAATCGTCGGTAACATTTTATTTGATGCATCTTTTATGCGACCGAATATTTAGTTTTGACAGAAACGAGATGACCTTTGTAAAGCGATATTCACTTTAAATTAATGCAAATATCCTTCATAAAAGAAAGTCTTCGCAAAGTTTGATGTATTTTGTTAATTTCGCTATAAGCTATTTTATTCGAGCTTCAAGAAATACGAGACTGTATATCTAAACGTATATTTGGAAAAAGTTTCTCTTCTCGAGCGAATATTGTGTGATTTTCTTGACGCCTACAATCTTTTAGCCATATCATGATAAACTTTCAGATTTATCATGCTGTAAATACAACTTTGGAGAATTATTTCATTCTGAATGTCAAAGAAGCCCCGCTGGCAAGGGACAATATCTATCTCGTTTCTTCCAAAATATACTTAAACAATCCATCATGTTATATCATAACTGGACAGGATTTTAGTTTAGGCAAGTACACATATAACAGAAGTAAAATATGTCGATAAAAGAAACATTGAGTAAAGATAAAAATCGATTTTCAAGAAATATTCAAACAGTAAAAGCTTTCATTACAAAATTGATCCATCAATTCAAGAACAAACAATAAAAATAAAAGACAAATATTTTCGCAAATAGAAGGACATGTAAAAATTACTAGTCTTGTTCCTGTAAAGACTATTTACCAAAAAATCTTTCGTGTCAAAATGTTATTCTACAAATAAACGTTCGTCTTCGCGTACATTTATCTTTACTTTTCTTGTTGCGGCAATCGGGAAATATATTTCTTTCGGATATTTATGCCAAATTGAAACTTTATCACAATTTTATCATACCATTTCATAGTTAAGGTTTTATAGAAGACTTCTGTTTTCAAAAAGAAACAATAACAATATCAATAATATATAATCAGTGTATTTTGCTTCTTTGTTTCTTTAATCTTTAGCAACTCTGCTTCAATAAAATAACCAAGATCGCTTCGTATTTCTATAATCGATATAATATTCTACATACTCTTATGCTGGTTATCTATTAGGTATAACGAGTGTTAGAATTTCAGAAAAGATTTTATGTCCGGATTATTTATTTATTTTAAAATCTAATTTCTACTTCTAATTTCTATTTTTGAAATATCACAAAATATGCTCCACATTTCTAATTTATCTTCAATATATGATATACATATATGTATATATGTATATATGTGTGTGTGTGTGTGTGTGTGTGTGTGTGTGTGTGTGTGTGTGTGTGTGTGTGTGTGTGTGTGTGTGTGTCACATGTACGTAATAATAATACATATAATACGCGCACAATATGTATCATAAAGAAAACTGTAAACGATTGTTTTAAATTGCCATTATATATATATATATATATATATATATATATATATATAAACACATATATATGTATATATATGCATATGTTGTAAATTGAATGTGTGTATAAAATAAAAAATGTATATTCTCATAATCTTCACTATATCATCTTTTTAATTGTTTAATTTTATAGAATTTATAGAAAAATTCAATATACATACATATACGGATGTGTATACAATGTGTACGTGCAAAATTGATTTACAAATATAATAAAGAGAGTTAATTCTCTCCATAAATTTCTCTTAGGAGACTCACATCTGTAGATTTGAGAGATTTTTTTATAATATGTATCTTATAAGAATGAACTGCGACATCCGAGATTTCAAGTTCTCAGATGACATATTTATATTATCACAGTGTCCGTTCTGTGTGAAAAAATTTTTTCAGTTCATGGATACGCATTCTGGCCATCTCCGTTACGGTTTATTTATGAAAGTTATTCCGTTTCCGATACAATTCACAAACAAAAATAATCTAGTTGCAAAACGCTGAACTCTATCTGCAATATCCGCGTAAAGCAGTTTACAAACTCGCTTCGTTCAATTTCCTAAGTGGGGAGACATTAAAATTTGAGTGCCGGAGATTTATTACAAGAAGTTGCTAAAGGTTCTCGGGAAATAAGAAGTAAATTGATACGCGCGTTAAAGTGAAGCGATTAAAGTTAAATAAAATGTTAATCGTAGAAATAGCAATTTGCTTATTTATTCCGTATCTTTTAAGTTTGTTAAAATTAACGGTGTAGATAATTTATGACGAAAAAAACTGAGTATATTAATAATTAATCTTATTACAAAACTACTTATAAAATTGAGATAATAAATTGATATTATATGATCGAAGTTTTATTAATATAATGACTGATATTTTCTAAAAATATAAAAATATAAAAATTTCTAATGTAATTATATACAAAAATAAAATAAAGTTATGGTGACTAAAATATCCAATTTGTACCATTACTATTAAAAGATATGGGAAAACTTCGTTTATCTACTGCTTTTTTTAAGGCAAAGGGAAGAAATTAGGCCGACCTAACAACTTTCAACAAGTCGCAGGATTAGATCCCCTCGTAAAGAATTTTCTTTCACCTTCGTTTCGCTTGCGTGCTTCCCCAAATTGGCAGCATTGGAACTAAGAGAAAAATAGAAAGAAAGAGAGAAAGAAAACAGTAGGACAACTTCTGTAAGGATAAGAAATACGAAAAAATATTTTATTGAAGATAGTATATCACGTATTTGAGATTAATGTATCTTTACTTCGATTCTCTGTCGATGTTGTAAGGCTCCTTTCTGTCATCACCTTCCCCTTTCTATATCGAATCCTCTCCTTTTTCCACGCTCAGAATAGCATGTGAAACGAATGAGACACTTCGTTTCGTTCAACTCCCAGAATAAATATTGACCCGAAGAAGTAGTCGGTTTTTGGTATCAATATTTGATTTTCTTATATCCGAAGGAACACACACACACACACACACACACACACACACACACACACACACACACACATGTATGTATGTATGTATGTATATGTGTGTGTGTGTGTATATATATATATATATATATATATATATATATATGCGCGAAATTTAAGTATGCAGTCTATCTTGTTAAAATTTATGGTAGATATTATGTTGTAAAATATAAAGAACAAATCATAAAAAGAATTAAATAATACTATCTTTATAATATAAAGTATATAAAGCAAATTGCCTCTAGACGCTAGTTTTCATTATTAAATCAGTTTTGTTTAAACTCAGCTTATAAACACAAACTGACTTATCTTATAACAATAATAATTAGTGAATGTATTAAAATAGTTAATTCCATATTAAAGAATTTAGGAAAATTTCTGGATCTAAATAGATAAATTTTCTTGAAATTTTATACGATTAATATGCGGCTAAATATATGTATTATAATACAATATTTATAATATTGCATTATATGAAGAAAAGAGAAAATTATGATAGTTATTTAATCAAGTCTGATTTTCTGAAATCTCAAATATATTAAAAATTTAAACAAAAAAAATGAAAATAAGATTCTCTTCATGATTATAATTTATAATTGTATGCATTTTCAATATAAGCGTACTTCTAATACATACATTTATCTTCTACGAAATAATGTAGCATGTACTTAAATCGAAAGTGTATATAGCGTAAGTATGATACATTTCATACGCTAATGTATTTCCCGGCAATATCTTCTTGCAGCTTACTTAAGATCCAGTAGTCGTCTATCATTTATTATATAATATGTTCGCGTATTTCGAATTACATAAATACTCAATTTATGTGCCATGTAAAACAAATGCATAGATGTGTGAATACATCAAACAAGAAAAATAATATAACTTTAATTTATTCCGTTCGCGCATATCAACATCATAGAGAGTCTCAGTCAAACTCACCTGCTACTATTGACGGAAGTATTGCTCCTGCTGCGTCTGGAAATGATAGAATCACCTCGATTTACGACACCCTTGTGAGTGATACTAAAAGCTCTAAGCCTGTACAAGTCATCGCTAGCCCTGGGGTTATACGCTTTTTCCGGTAGACTGTGCACACGTGGTCGTATGTGATCCGGTACTGTAATATAATAAAAAAAATATTAAAATTTATTTAAAAAATTTCTAATAATTAATATCTAGTATAATTAAATATGTGAAATCTATTTATGTAGATACAAATATAAAAGAAAAAAGTATATAGCTATAAATATATCTAATAATTACATATAATATTTTAATATAATAATTATATTGACAGTATTGATTATTTAATAATATAATAGCAGCAAACTGTTAAATTATTTATTTCAAATAATAGAAAGAAAGAAAAAGAAAGATATAAATCGTATATATCTATTCCGTCTATTTTTATTTTCATAATAATTATTTTAAAAATTCTTTTTTTATCTATATCTAGAGTGCGCGCAAGAGATACGAATCATGATGATAAACGACTTTAACGTGCCTCATTATATTCTCCCAATATAATTTAAAAGTGATTGCTATGAATAATCAAAAGCATACAACGGCTTATTGCACACATGATAAATATTGCGGCTTTTGATAGAATTAAAATCAACGGATTGATCTATACATCGACATACGTAGACAATTAATCTGTATTGCGCGAAAGCAAGTTACAAATTTATCCGTTGTAAAATTCTTGACTTAAAATATATCCTTTTATTCTGTTATGTGTATCGAACTTATATCCATTGTAATTAATTAGCCAGCGATCGTACGCGTTACTAACACTTATGTCATGGGAAACACTTTACAGCGCGTATGACAACGTCCCGACTTTTGTACGACGTTATTACACCGTTAACACGACTAGATAAACGACAATCGATGATAGCTAAACCAATATCGTCGAGTTAAATATTCAATTCCATTACCGAGCGATATCGATTCAACGTCGAATATACTGTATATTACATAGTAATAATTTTAGTATGCAACTCGAGTACTGACCATCTCGCATAATTACTAGTCAAACACTGAATGTTCATCAAAAGTTATCAATTATCAACATGTTGTTTTGATTCATTTAAGTTGCTTCTCACATTTTTACTGAAATATTATATACAAGTCGAATACGAAGCAATAATACACAAAAATCAGCGTAAACGGAAGAAATATAGTGTACGAAAATGAAAAATAGGAAGAGAGAAGAGACAGACATACAAATGAGATACCGTTTCCGAGTTCATTTACTTTCAAGCATGCTATTTCGCTCGGATAACGAAAATGAAGCGGGTCAACGTGGGCGACCGCTCGCTATAATTTGTCACCCAAACGTGTCGACGGACTTGGATGATTAGACAGCGGAAAGAATTGCCTCGTAGCTGCTTTGTCGTACAAAGAATTATTGCGACGATATCATAAATCGTACGAATATCATTGTAACAAATGTACTGTGAATTCCACGATATAATCAGTTATCCCATGTAATAAAATCCTACGTCGGAACGGATCTCGGACACGTAATATTACCAGTCGCATACTAATCGATAACCTTCCCAAACAAACGACGTATGTAATTAACTGAACACATAATTATCGGTTACAGTTTTTAAATACGACAAATATGAAAGATTTCAGAGACAGATTATTCGTATTAACTTCGTATTAAATTATACAAAATAACTGACAATATGAATACGCACTGTGAAATACAGATTTAATCGTGGCGTAAAAAATGAATTAGTACAACTTGTTATATACGTTAGAATATAATCAAATATATGGTTTAAACTTATATATATATATATATAAGTTTAAACCATATATTTTATAATCTATTAACGTAATACCATAATCAACGAAAATTGAGATATAAAAATAACTTCAAATTTTTATATCTTTTCACAACTTTTAGCATGTCAATTTAAATATCTTTATAAATTCCTTCCAAATTAAAATTTTCTTAAATAAAATTGATCGTTCAACATTATATAAAGCCTAAAAATCTTCCGCATCTCTCACTAAAATTTAATTCACAAAAAACTCTCTAAATCTTTATTAAAAATTATTTTATATAAAAATATTTCACAAACTGCACTTGTATTTAGATCACACATTAATACTCTAGAAGACAATCCGGGCTTCCATGTAGAATTCGATTAAAAGACCTCTCAAACGAGAATGAACTAATCAAGACGCATTTTTCAGGATTCAAGATCTCATTCTTTTATCAAGACCGACCGCTGAGTCGAGTAAGAAGGAGGATCGATCGATCGATTCGGTTTAGTTAGCAAGTTTAATTGGATCGCTACTTTTATGACCGAACTCAACAGACTTGTTTCCGATTTACAAGGCTTTTCAAATAAATAATATCGCATGCTATAAAAACTGACCTGGCGCGAGTGACGTCGATCATTAGCGATCTTAACAAAATGATTTATAGGATTTATTATCCTTATAACTGCGCAAGTCATCTATCACTATACTTCCTATCTTATGCATTCTCATTTATGCTTTTTCTATGCAATATATGAAAGTGACATAAATAAAATTATTAATAAAAATAACTAAATTATTCTATCCAAAGAAAATCGAAGCTGCGAATTTTAATTTGTTTGTGTTTTTGATTTCTTGTACTCGTAGATTTATGCACGCTGTTGGTATCATGTCAAAAGACGTGTCTCATCATTTTAGTTGTTGAGAATCGCTGTAGTTATTTTGCACAAAACTTGCATCTATTTTCTTAACGTATTGCGATAAAATTATGCGATTAAACTAAACAATACAATAGAATATGCATATGCTTTTTTCTTTTTTAAATTAAATATCTTTTTATTATCTAAAAAAATTGTTTATGTTTAATCTTATCATAATATTGAAATCATTTTTATAGGTTAATTTAAAAAAACTGATATATTTTATTTATTGAATAAAATTATGAGATATTTCTATTCTACTGTATCTTCCAAATTTCTAATAATATCACATTCATAAAATTAAATATTTGACATGTTTGTATTTTTCATTATTGATATTGTTTGACACATATTGTTTGACACTCTACTATACATAATATTTCAAATAGCAGTCAATCAATGCATCAATATCAAATATCAATCAATAAAAAAATATATATATTTATAATTCATATTGTGTTTTAACCATGCGATAAGGCAAACAATATTGTCATATAACTCAAACATTTCTCAATCAATCTCGCACTTATAATTATGTCATATTATTTTCACATGTATTTCTGTAGATTGTACTTGATAACTAGTAAAAGTACACATCTTTTGTCTATATGTATTAGAGCATTTCAACCTTTAATATAGTTACATTCAACTGGACATTTAAGAAATTTGAAACACATGATACTTGACAAGAAATTCGTAGTTATGTGTATAAATATAAGTTAATATCTAATTAATTTTATTAATTATTTAATTAATTTTATTAATTATATAATTAACTTATATTTATATCATGTCTATGTCAATACATCTTCGTTATTGACTTTTGAAAATGTGCATTGTTATCAATTATACATAAAATTAACAATAAAATATAAATAAAACTTAAAATGCGAATACATGTTTTAGCTTCATATATATATTTAATTTCTGCAACATTAAATTCCGATAATCTTTTTCAAAAGTTTCAAATAAATGATAAAAATCAATAGCTATTTATCAATTTATCATATTTTTCTGTGCATTTTTTCTTGGGTATTCTCAACAATATTGAACAAAAATCGAAAGTAAGAAATTTACATTTTAATGTGCATAAAAAAATTAATAATTCACGATTATATAAGACGATCAGAGCATTATATCTGTGCTGCCGAAATTCTGCTTCACTGGAATCCAATCTTGAGAAAGAAGAGGGTTTATAGAAAATGGTGAATAATAAAACAGATTTCGTCGAAGGCAACGTATTAAGCGACGGAGGGTAGAAAGCATCCTATCAGAAAGACTTGTAAAGGAACGACAAATCTTCTTTTTATTTTATTTTGCCGCGTACACTGTTCTTATCATTACTAAGGTAATTTCATGCAAGGCGAAAAAATGCTATCTACCCAAAGAATGCAGAAGCTTCTGATTTCTGGAAATTTCGTATTAAAATTTTATACAAAAACCATCGCGAAAAAAATATATTGTTTAAAATAATATATTCTTTCTTAAATATTGTAATATATTCTTCATCAATTAAGATTCTCCCATATACATATGATAATCTAATTTTCGAATTATATATTTTCACATCTTTAAAACTCTCTGCTTTTATAATCAAGTTTTTTTTAAAGAGATTTGTAATCTCCTAAAACATTTTTATATAGATCATCATTTTTTAATTAAATATATAAGATCTGTTTGCATGTGTGAATTTGTGTGAATGTGTATATCTTATTAAATATAGAGATTGTCTTAATATAAAAAAAATAATAATAATATTCTGATATAAACACATTGAAAGAAAATCTCTGATGATTAATCTTTTATTGTCTTCATTCCACACGTTGCGACTTACAATCACAAATTACTTTGCGGCAAGGAGTCTCATGCTGTTTGCACAAAGTATTTACGAAGACGATGAGCGAGTAATTAATTTCCGGCGTGTTAGGATAGCTACTTCGAATACCTGGATAATCCGACAATTTCATGTGGTTTTCAAGTTACACCAGAATCAGAGAGTTTTTGATCAGACAGGACGGTTCATTCAAATAGCTGCCGGCTATATATATAAAGCTCGAAATAAAACATTCGATAAATTAAATTACTTTCGATTTCAAAGATTTTAAATCATTCCCAGATTTTCAAACTAATAAATGCATTAACATTTTATATTAATTAAAAAAGACATTAAAAATACTTAACTATTATACTAGTGTTATAATATACAACTATCAAAACGTGAAATTAAATCAATTATTATATTTCATAAAACAATTAGTCACATATGATCCGAACAAGATTACAATTCAGATATGCATTCGCAAGATGTCGCAATCTACGAAATTGCTCTACACGATGAGATTCGAGCGACCGATATTAATTTTATACTTCGCGCACGTATATTAAACTCAATATTACGGCTTCAAGTGCGATGAACGGTTAATTAAAGCATCGCAGACGGCGCGACTGCCATAAGGGTACAACTTTTGCGTTGTTATAGAGGAAATGAAGAACTTTGAGCTTTCAGACTATATATACTCACTCCCCTTCTCCGTTTCTAGAAATGCAAATGCACGAACAGCTTTCGTCATTCTCATCCGCGAGAGAAAACCCGCTATTCGCATAAATAAATCTAGCTCGAAAGTAGGCCACGTTTAGAAATTAATTTTGCGGCAGTTACACGTGCAGGAGACATTCATAATTCCTTTATATCAACTCACTATACCGTAAATTTGACACGCGCGATACGCACATTTCACGTGCTAAAACAACATCTCGCGCACATCCGTATATATTAATATGTAATTATTTTATTTAGTCACTGTTGGATAATTTGGAGATATAACTACATTTACATTTATGGTTAAACGTAACAAGAAGAACCGTTTTAGTCTTTTACTATTCATTAGGCAAAGAAAAGATTATCGCAAAAGCAACGATATTAAAGCTGCTTCACATTTGTATAACATCAAAGCATAAAATAATAATAACCGATGGATCGTGCAAATGAGAATAAATATCGTATTAATTTCTTATATTAAATTGTATGATATCGTTATCTTTTGCCACAATCAAAATATAAAAAGTGATGTAGGAAAGTAAAGCTAGTATGTCAAAATGACAGTTTACTCTCTTTCTATTTGTTCTGGAATTCGTATAATAAAAATTCGTGGAAAGTAAAATTTCAGAAGAATAAATGCATCGTGTGCATTTTTTAAAAATAAAAATTGGAGTCAGTAGTACAATATTAAAAATTCGATATTGAATAAAATTCATTTCCACACAAAGTCCAATAAATTGTACGATATTTTTGCAAAATGTACATAATAATATTGTATAGAATGTGCTCACTCTTGAATATTGACAGCGAATTTATCAGCAATCATGGAAAAGTAGTAGACTCTGATCGATACATCGAACTATTCATTTAGAAATAAATGACTTCTGTCAAGCCTTGTTCACATTGCAACTTATCAAGAGTTATAATGATTTTATTGTTAATAATCGTAACATGTCTAAATCATTAAAATTTTAAATAAATAATTGATTGAGAATTTAGTCAAAATTTATTATTAAAATAAGTCCAATTTTCTCTAACAAAAAAATTTTAATAAAAATGTTTACGAGAACATAAGAAACAATAAGTTATTAAAACATTAAATATAATATAATAAATTAATTTGCTTTTATCTACACTACTGCATAATATTTTTAAATAGTTATGCTCGTGTAGTTACAATACATTCTGTTCTATAGGATATTTATACGTTATGATTATTCGTAAACATACTAACAGCAATGTCGCTGGTCAACATGTCGAATAAATATTCAATCATGATTGATACCGCAGATTATGCATATTTGGATTTCAAATATGAAAGCTATTGTCGGTCTCATATTGAAATCTGTCACTTTAAAGTTTCTTTAGAAAGGTTGAATTAGAAATCACATATTGAAATTTCTCAACAAAGATTATAAATATTTAATTTATATATATGTAGATATATGTATATATATATGTGTGTGTGTGTGTGTGTGTGTGTGTGTGTGTGTGTGTGTGTGTGTGTGTGTGTGTAATATATGTATACATACATACATACATATAAATTAAAATGTGTTCAATTCAATTTTTCTAAGACTATGCATGATATATTTTAAAAATATTAGTTTAATTTAATTATTAAACTCAAGTTTTTTTATACTCGATGTATATTCGATATTTTTAATATTCGAAATGCTGTAATTTTTTTATATGGTTTATATATATTGTCAATACGCATGAATTTTTTTAATGTCACAAGACAAATTTTCTTTCACACCAATCGGCGAACTCACAGAACGCGTTTATCTTATTGTCGCTGATGTTTCCTTTGATGAACAAACTATACATTCAAAGTTTTAACCAGGCCAAACGTAATTGATGACGTCAAGCTTTTGATAAGAGGTCAATCCGATAAATAGGCATACATGGAAAAAGTATACAATACGAAACTCTAAAAATTAACACGAATATCATATAAACTTTATATATAAAATTGTTTATATATAAAATATATAAACAATTATAGTCTGATGATACGTTATAGTCTGATGATTGTTAGATATAATTAGAAAAATATCTTTAGATATCTTTTATGTAGCAGATAAAATGTGAAGAATAATAAAATAGTTATAGATATATATAAAAGAGAGTTATCTTATTAAACAATATATAAAAAATATGCGTAAAAAATTGAAATTTTTGTCAAAGAAAATACAAATTTTAATAATTTTATAAGTTATACATAAAATAAATATTAAATTTGGTCCAAGCAAAAACGTGATCTCTCTATTAAGAATATCGGGAAAACATACAAAACAAAAGGTACCATAATTAAGTAAAATAATTAAGTAAAATAACAGCAAAGTAAAGCTTTGCCTTTTATATCGTCTTATGTAACATTTTGCCACGTGAAAACTAGTTAAGAAAAAACTAATTATTGCAAAATCTTGCATAATTTCTTTTATAATTTTAATATTTTATACATATACATATATATCTTATATAAATGTATTATATAAATGTTATGCTCTCTTTTGTATTACAAATCATAAATCAAAACTAACTCAATTTAATCGAGACATGTTAAATTTTTTTGTTATATTATAATTTTATATTACAAATATATATAAATATATTGTAAACATAAACCTTTCTTTTGTGCTAATGGAATAAACCATTTTTAATATATCATGATTATTACTTTAATTCTTCAATTCTTAAAAAACTCAGAAAATATATTACTTCAATCTTGAACTTTAAACATAGATATACATATCTGATAATTATAAATGCACTCACCTGGTAGCTCAAGAAAATTCGAAGTTCTGCGTTGTCGGCCACGCGGATGAGCGTTAAAATTTAATGGACCTACATCTTCATTGGTAACGTTGGATATGTTGGAACATTGACTATCGCGGGAGCCACGTCTGGATGCCAGATATGCTGTAACATAATTGCATACGAGAGTTTCGTGAAAATCTAACCCAGCCCATTTGCATCGTGTGTTCAAAAGGGATCGTCAAACAGTAAACCGCATCATGATGCGCCATACTATTTCGGTGTGTATGTTACATCGTGTACTGATATATTGTTGTGAGAGCGCGATGTTTGAGGAAATGTTCATCATCAATGTTATGTTATGCCCATTAAATTTTCATGATTCCAGAACACTCGCAAGAATAAATTTTTGATGGTGAGAAATATGAGAGTGACATCTCTTTACGAAACGAATATACGTACATCAGGAATATACATTTAAAAGTCACTAAACAGTAATCTACTTTCACATTAATTTCAATTTCACTAAACAGTAAAATAGTTTTATATTAAGATACTTTTAATATTTTTACTACTACCGTGATATTGAAAGATAAGTTCTTATTATTCAAGAATTATAAATAAACTCCCGCAAAATATATATTTCAATAAAATGTCATCTCAATTCAACTAACCGATATTTAATTTTCCTCAAATCAAGTAATATTTCAATAATGTCTCTGACGTTCGATTACATGAGAAATATCTCGCAAATCTGTCAAATTTATAATTTCACACGTGTTTCACGGGATTATTTTCCTACCAATCTAACCAATGAAACTACCAAACTAATGAAAGTCGAATGGCCAATAATCGAAGAGAATTGGAGGATTAAATCTCAAGAGTATACTACAGCTTTTTCATTTAGCTTTATTCAGGAGCGAAAAGACATAATAAATAAAGAAAAGATAAAGAGAACGCAAAAAGCGGAATAACAAAAACGAAAAAAAAAATCGGAAATAAGAAAAGATTCAAAAAGAAGAAAATATCAAAATAAATAAAGAGATTGAATCAATTTTATTTATTCTCTTTGATCTGATCACACATCATATAGATTCATGCCAAAAAGCAATTATGAGAGCTTCTTGTACATATGTATGTATACATATATGTATATGTACATGCGCGTATATAAATTACAAATGCGTTTAACACATAAATTACAAAGCTTGCATTATGCCCATTATTAAAGTGCGTTATGGATTTTCATCAATAGAAGAGTACTCGGTTGGATTAAAAGAACAAGTGATTCGCAGACTACGAATTTTGCCATGGCAAAATCCCAAATTTCACTTCCACGGAGGCCAATTATCGGTAGCTAGTGCACGTGCCGAGATTATTCACGTGTCGTCGTCGTAATTCTCGTTTCCACCCGAATCGATCTGCGTCACGCTCGCTATAGTAAGGACTTTAATCACAATATCCCACACAAAAAATCTACTGTGATTGTGATGACCGCAATATTATAAATATTGGAACACAAAAAGTTTGCATTTTATTAGTATTTAAATTATTTATTTTAAATTATTATATTATTATAAATGTGTACGCTATCGTAATGCTTGCAAATGTAAATATTAACAATATAGTTGTTAATAATAAGTGAATCTTAGTTATAATAAAGTTAATATAAAATTAACTCAATTATCAAAATAAGAGAGAGGGAGAGAGGAAGAGTTAACGAGAGATTTTAATTTATAAAATTTTTGAAAATATGATATTAAATGAACGATATTAAATTAAAGAGAGTAAGAATATCGTAATTGTTAGAAATTTAATTGTTACAAAGTTATTAAAATTTATCACAAAATTATAAACATAAAATTATAAATATTTTTATTTACATTTAATTTTATATATTAGTTATTAAGCTACGTTATATAATATCTTTAATCAAATAAAAGTCAGAAAAGAAAGAGCGAACAAATAAACGAACAAATTTCGTGCCTCTTGAAAACATCGGCTGTCGATTATTGCCAAAATCGAGCCATCCATACAAAAATAAGAGACAGAGAAAGATTTAATCGAAAAATATCCTTTGTTAAACGGAGATGAAAAAGTTTCGTGGAAAAGAGAAGAAACTCACCAAGACCGCCTTTCATAGAGCCTCTCCTTCTGGGGCTGGATAGCATAGTGATCTCAGTATCAGCCTCGCCCATATCTGTCAGATCGCTGGTTGATCGTCGAGATATATTTTTTTCGCCCCTTCTATGTTTCGAGCGCTTTTTTAAACCCTCATGATATTCACGACCAACTTCGTCCAGGCATCCTTGACTCTTATTAAAGCGGCCGTTCATCTTTATACTTTTCGACCTTTCGCCGGTTACCTCGGTGGCTTTTTCGTGCATACCAAGAGAACCCTCCATAGATGATGTTTTGCCCATGTCGTTACTGTTGTATCCCACGATCTCTCTGCTGACACCCTTCTGATCCACATCCGGACTTCGATCCGTTTTGGTCGGACTGGTCGAGTTATGCGACGTCGGCATTACTATTGTCGGCGACATGGGACTCTTCAAACTCATCAGGCCGAAGCAGGAATTTCTTCGCCGATCAAAGGGTTTCGGACTCCTCTGACCATAACTGCATGATGAATTGACTGATCTACTACGATCGATCGTCGATGACGAGGTCGTTGACATTGGGTAGCTCGCTGCTTGTTTCAAATTCTTGCGCGGATCGCAGAACTGAAAGATGGGCGATTTGTGGCCAGGTGAGTGCAGTATTTCGCTGTTGGGAGTCATGGGACTTTGCGGTGGACCCGTAACGCGGGTATAGTAACTGGGACTCCTGGGGCTCCTGGGACTCCTGGGCCCGCGCTGCTGCTCGAGCTCGCCGGCGCGCCCAAACTCGTCGAAGTCGAAGTTCGTGTTGGGTGTCTCCGGGTAGTACTCGGGCGGAAATTCGAAGACCAGCGGGGTACCGGGCGACTTGGTCAACGATTGACCGCGAGTCGGACTCCTTTGTTCGGTGATCGGCATCTGCTGCTGATTGCGAGGTAGCGCTGGCAATTGCCGCGGGCTCCTCGGAGATTTCAGATGAATCGATTGTCCGGGACTGTTCGTCGCCATCTCCGACACAAAGTCTCTCTGACGGATTTAGCTTCCTTCCGGATCGCGTTATCTCTGACAGATCGACGCTCTGAGCCGGATACTTATCGTGACTTTGTCATTGTCGCGTTGCAGAAACGATTGCCGTCGGCTTTCAAGCTAATCCGTAAATGTCGTCTACAACAGCCGCTCTTCTCATTTCAATGGATTTGCTGTCAAATTCAATTTTTATATAAATCTACATAATTGAAAAATGTTGCGGAATAAATGCGCTTAATTATCGTTCTAGCTAAATAAGTTTTCTGGATTGTCAAACACAAAATTTAATATTTATGTTAAATAAGAAGTATAATTGAAAAAATGAAATTATTATGTATACATAATTTTTTAACAAATTTTTTTCATATTATATATATATATGGAGTTCAGTAATCAATAGTTTTTTATTTACATTAAAATTAAAAGCATAATATATAAAGTTTAAGAAAAATTTTCACATATAATTACTTATTTCAAAGAAAATTTTTCTCTCTTTCACACACATACACACATACACACACACAAAGAGAGGAAAGGATACAAAGAGAGAGAGAGAGAGAGAAAGAGAGAAAGAGAGAGACAGAGAAGAGAAAGAGTTTAAGTTTTACATACACTTAATCATTTTATATTTCTTTAAAACTTCGATTTTCCAGAAAGTTATCTTAAATAGATTTAATTAAACGAAAAATTACTTCATCTCATATTTAATCGATTTCTGATTAATTAATTATGATGAAATTTACGCGCGCGCGATGTTACTCTGTAATATAGCGCGTGACCTATAATCGCAAGGTTAAAACGCACCTATGTCAAGTTCACGATCAAAATCTGTTGAAAATTATATATTGATGTAAATAAAATAAAAAAAGCATAAAATATTTTAAATTATTACTTCATTAGCATTGCTCTTTTAATCAAAATAAAAAGTCCATATAATAATTATTATGTAAAATAATGAATTTATTTTTTAAAAATTATGACGTTTAGTTAAACAAAAATTCAGTGTTTCCTAAATAAATATTTCTAAATATTTTTATTTCAGTCAAATTTTTTATATTTACTGCTGATTTAGAAAATCAGAAAATATATAATCTTATGACAATAAAAAATTTTAACAAAGGAAGATTGATCATTCAAAAAGTTATTTTCCAAATCATACAACAGCATTTAAACACTAATTGTCACGCGCACACATAACGTATTGTCTATGTTAAAATATGTAATAAATGATATGGATAATAAATAATAGGATACATGTGTCAATTACATCGTAAAATAAATAAATACGACGATATACACGAGATCATTGGCCAAAGCGATACACCAGTTAGCCGATTAGAGATTAACCTGTTGATCGTCGTTGTCGAAGAAAATCACGTTATCTAGTTGCGCCAAGATGTCAAACGGTAACGTTGTGGTGCCTGAAACGGCGAAATGCGAAATCTCGTATCGCGCTGATCAAAAAAATCTAATCCTAAATGGATAAACGCACTCGTCGAGTCGGACCAAATTTTGCGTCGCGAGGAGAACGAAACGTCGACACGAAGATGCCACTTCGGCGATGGCCGGCACGCTACTGAGGGGTTGCAATATAGAAGTTAACCCCGCACCACCCGCTTCGCATCCGCCGCAAGCCACCCTTCCCGCATCCAACTCGGCCCTGGGGCAATCTGTTGTTTTCTCTCTCGCATATACTCTTTCAATAATTCGTATTCGCGTTCGATGTTATTTACAACTTTAACGATTCTTATAGGGTCTTTATGATTTTAAAATATTTTAAAATATTTTATCTAAAAATAACGTCATATTTTTATTAATTTCATACTAGAAAATTTAGTTCTTTTGTTCTTTATTTTATCACGCGTTATAACATGTTTTCCACATTTTAATATTATTTATTATATTGTTAACAAAATTTATTATATAACAAAAAACTAAAAATAAATTATGTGAATCTATTTTCTTATCTTTACGCAAAGATATCTTTTAAAACTTGTAAAAAATAAATAAGTTTTGTAATTTACATGCGCAATTAAATATGTCATGTTCATCACGTATACTAAAATAATAAATTTAATAAAATCACCAGAGTCTTTAAGTTTTAATTAACGCTCTTTCTGGTCTATAAAAGTAATAAAGTCTATCGATAGTCTATCAAAAGTTATGTTTATGTCGAGGAAATTCATGGAGATACTGTGGACTTATTGAGGTCTGCTACGCAACAGTCTATCTATCTAACAGGTAGACGTGTAGTACATGTAGGTATATTGCAAAATCTAATATGCTTTAATGTTGGTTCAAGCCCGTTTACAGTTCGTCCTCTAATTAGTAAGGCACTATAGTACGCACTATGAAAGTGCGCGTGGAGGAATCTGATTTGGCCTTCTCATCAACAGCTCATCGATTGGCACTACACTCTCTACGAACACGTCAGTTTTTGGCAAGAGCTATAACACAGAGAAGCTTCGAATTGAATTTAGACGGTAGAGACTAAGTATTTGAGATGTAAGAAGGAAGAAGAGAAGCAAATTACATAATTTTATATTTAACATCGTTAAATAACACTTTCAATGAAGCAACTAATCGCAAAAAGCAAGATTCTGTATATTTCGCTAATATTTTGAATTTCCATTTTATTATTTGATAAATTCAAAATTGATTATCTACATAAAATAAAAGAAAATAAATTATCTATAATAATTCCCATGCATTAACTCTACTTAATTAAATTTGCATATTGAAAACTCAATGAAAATTTAATCAATTTTAGAAAAAAGATTATTAAAAAATATATGCCAATAATATAGTATTGCTTTATTTCATGATTTTTTTCAAGAAAAAATTTTCATAATTTATATTAAATTGTTAAAAAAAGAGTTGAATTAAAATTTTTAAAAAATTATCATGTTGGTAACAAATTATTTTTTTCATTTGATTTATATCATCCGAGCAATGCGGGAAACTAGTAATATCAAAGACCAGTAGAGAGCAGATATATACAGGGAAAATACCGATATCCAGATCAAATTGTGTACATATCACCTAAGCAATAAATTCTTCGTGCATTTCCAATTTATACGTATAGTATAATCGTCATTACAATATCTATAAAATAAAATTTACGTGATTAATTTTATAATTTAACATCTTAGGAAGCTTATACTACCGAATACTGCGACACTAGAAATATTATATTATTATTCTTGATATTTTTACTATTTGATATTTATTAATAATACTTCTACGTCATACGCTCATATTATTGATTCGATCATATCAAAACTGAAGAATCCAATGATAAAAAAAGAATTCACACTAACTTTTCATATATATATATATATATATATATATATATATATATATATATAAATGTATATATATGAAAAGTTTAGTCTCGATTCTCTTTCATAGAGCAATCTTATTATTAGAGATTCCTTTTCTAGAAATTATTCGTTCCAATTAAAACAGTCAAATACTTTTCGATTTTTAATTTAAAAAAAATATGCAAAAAATTGTGTAAATGTTGTGCAAACATGCGTTGTATAGTTGATAAGATAAATTAAAATATTTCTTTTTGCTTCGATAACAAGTAATGTTATTTGGATACATCCGTTTGTGATAAATATCGAACGCAATGAAAATATTTCAACTGCTTTTAAGTGATTAGTATTCAAATATAAAAACGCATTAGAGTTTCTATTCATGTCTTCCTATCTTTATCACTAATAATTATTCAATAATTTAAAATAAAAACCAGTTATTTCTTGTTTCATGTTGATAGAAAACGGACTTGCTTTAATGAAATTGTTTGTAGTTGTTAATAATTATTTATACCATCCGTGACGCCTTAAACGATAAATCATTTTATGTAAATATTTCTTATTTTTTTGTTTCGCTTATTTCATTTGCATTTCCGTTTTACTAAATTAATTTTTTATTAATTTACGTAGAAAGTACCAATTATTCATATAACAAATATTGTGATGAGTCAGCAGTATATTCTATCCATACATAAAATATAAAAAATTCAAATGTTCAACTCTAATGTAATAAACATTTTTTTACAATATTTTATTATTATTTCATAATAGCATAATATTTCAATGCTTAATGCTTTATATAGTGCAATATACTGAATTATACAATATAACATATCTATAGAATATTATTATTATTAGTAAATTTTATACAAGTTGTTTTCTCATTCTTAATCGCTCTATATTTCCATTCAATACATTCTTTACTTTGAATCCTTGAATTATTGTGGCATGTCGCAATCCCTCGTTCCAAAGCTATATAGAAACTTATCACGCTTCTTGTTTTTTGTGATATCTATTGAGGAAAGTCTAAGTATATGTATTAATAAAATTGTTACACCTAAACATCCAATCTTTACATTTCTAACATTATATATGAAAAATATAATTCTGCTATATATATTGTATATATGCTACAATTTTATATTATTTTGATATATTAGATGTTTATTATATGATCAATATTTTACTTATAAAGTCACCTAAAAAATATTTAAAAAAAAATTAATCTCATTATTTCAAATGAAATACATTCATATTATTAAATTATTTCTGCTTAATAGAATATCATTGAGTTACAATAAAAAATTTAAAAAAATAAAAAAATTAGAAAAAAATAAAAATTTAGAATTAAAAAGAATTTTGTAATTCTTATCTTTATTTTATATTTTGTTGAAAATTTTGTTTCACGTATATCATAGAGTAACGCCTAGAATGTGTAAACTACATTGGCACAATTGTAGTTATTTCTTTATGTTTCTTTTATATTTAATTTATTTAATCTAAATTTCTCAACATTTTATTCCCATTACAAAAAGAATCAAAAACTGAAACTAAAATATACCAATATTAATCAATTGTTATAAGAAGATAATAGTGTAATCATTTAACATAAATACTAAAGCATATCATACGAGTGGATGGAAGTTACATAGTAGTATCAGAAATCGTCAGATAGCAGATGCATACAATACGAATTTGAAATGACGAGACACGTACTGATGAGAATCATTATCAAGCAATCTTTTATTTCAAAAGAATAAAAATTTTCGCAATATATAAATATAAATTCAAAAGAATTATTTGATAATTTATCTCATTGATTACTTCAACTATTTTAATTTGATAAGCAATCGATTAAAATAATCGAATGACAGTCTGTAATTTGCAGCTTAATAAACTTGCATAGAAACGCTCAACATGCGATACAATTCCGCGTAATCATCGATTTATCATTAATAGATCTGTGAAAATCATTTACGAAAGTAGCACAATGATTCGGAAAATAAAAATACATCACGCAGAATTCTCAATGAAAGCAGGTACATGTCGCGTAATACATTAAATCATCTTATCTCTTAATGACATTTCCTGTCTAGATAAAATAATTCGAAATTTAATATTCGTAATTCGCCTTGATTGATAATTTTCACGTTATTACCATGATACATCATGTACAAAGAAATGATAACCTTGTACTTGATATTATATGCCACATTATAGTAATAATTCCTCGTAAAATATTGACGTCTGAAAGATTCTATTTTTATCAAACTACAGTAGACGTTATATATTATACCTATATGACGTATATAATTGTACATTGACTCACGTTTTTAACCTTTATTAACTTATTTAACATTTTCCATGCGTGGTTGATGATTAGATGACTCAAGTGTTTTGCAGTTTTATATATATTTAATAAATACATATTAAATCCATATTAAAAACTATATATTTATATTAATATCTGTATTAAAAGCTTATTTACTAAAATTTTGCTAAACATATTCAAAATGCATATTTATATAGACTTATTTTTTATCCAATTGTTTACACACACAATTTTTCTTTGTTAAAATGAAATAACACATTACTTTTTTATCGCAATGAGAATAATATTTTATATCGAATATTATATCGAATATTCTCAATGCATTAAATGCTTCATTATTTCTAAATAATTTGACATGTTTTTTTATATGTCATTATTTTAAAAAGTTATTATTGTAGTATTTTCTGTTAATGTTACCTATTAATATCTTATCATATTATAATCTCCTCTAGCGATTTATTTAAAAAAGAAAGATCAGGAATGAGAAATCTCCTACTACTATTGTATTATCATGAGGGAAGCGACATGGCACGCTCTCTGATGACGTTTCTATTGCAAACTCACCACCCACATATGATTCTCGACGCTAGCTCGACTGGCAACCAGTCATGCGGTACCAGCGTCGCGAGAGGATTCATACTCATGTCAGTCGTCCATTCTGTTTATTTGTTGGGCTTAGGGTTGCCTTCTTCAAAAACACATGCTACTCGACCTCGATCCAACTCAAGAAACAGCTCAATATATTCCCAGATGCCGTCGTTGAGGACTTTTCGCATTGAGTTCGATCGATCAGGCGCTACTTATGCACCTGGCGAACAAGTCACCGGCAATGTTATCATCGACTTGGCCAGGGAGAAATCTATCAGAGGTAAATAGTGTTCAGCATATACGTGTTGCACGAGATCAAATTGTAGTATTGAGCGATTATACCACAGGCGCCGTGTCGTCGGACGTCAAAGTGTGCACATGCGTGTGAAAAATGCGTGAAGCGTGAAACCAGTGTCGTAAAAAAGAGGCGCCGACTTTCACGAGAAATGTGTCATTGTGTGATTTACACATGATAAATGAATATTTGAATATCTGTTATATGGATGAGTGAAATTCAAATTGAGAAAGCAGAAAAGATTGAACAAGTACTAGCAAGATTGGAAAGAGAAAGAGAAGTACTAGCAAGATTGGAAAGAGAAGTCTTGGAAGATTATTTTTAAACTTCAAGCTTTGTAGTTTCATAAAAAAAGGATAAAAAATTAAATTAGATGAAAAAAACATTGATTATCAAGTAATAAAAATTAATTATTAGAAATTTCTCATCAAAATACAACGCACTTCAATTAATTAAATACAGTTAATTAAATACAGTTAATTAAGTTGTATTTATAGAAATAATTTCTGTATAATTATAGATTTTATATCTTCACAATGTTTTTATATTCAGTTTTTTTATTTCTATTCGGTGCTTTTATGATGAAATAAATAAATATTGAATATAATATTTTTTTCGCCAATTACGATAAGTAAATATGTGTACATACTTATAAAGTTCTGTTAGTCATAACTTCTTATCAGATGCTTTTGTTATGACGTCATTTACCAACATGAGATGCACTACATATGCCAGATATATCGTTTTATGTTGTTGGCCATTCTATAATATAGTAAGCAGCAATGCTGTGAAATTTTTTATTCTGCATACTATACTTTATAAAAATAAAGAGAAATAATACATTAAACAATTACGTAGAATTAAATATCAAATGCGAAATGTGAATGAAAAATGTCAATTTAATATGCAGTTATTATCGATTCACAGAAGTGTGTTATCAGAACGATGTTCTGACAAATAACATTTTAAGTAGATCTACTATCTAGGAATATACTATCTTAATCTCACATTCATTTTAGAAGAATGAAATTATAATGATTAAAATGCACAATTATTTTTTGAATAATATTGAAATAAATATATGAGAATTATATTTCCCAAGACTCTTTTTATCACTCGTGTGATATCAAGTCATATTGTAAAATAATTGCCACCTATATTTCTAAATCTTTTGAAGATTAAAATTATAATATATACTCTATACAATCTACGTTTTTAAAGTTGTAAAGATTAAAAATAAATTTATTAGAAGATGATTCCAGTTACTGAAATCCGTTAGTTTGCTAAAACTACTGATATATCTCTCTATATAATGTGAGACACAGCATAGCTTTACCATATTCGCGTATCTATTTTTATATATACTGACTTTAGCCGGTTATGCAACGCATATATGTATTTAGAAATTCTGTTGATATGTTTTTAATTGACACTGAATACCAAGCGCTGTAAACGTAATATTGTTGTAATGTGAAAATTTCTTTTCTAAATCATTTGTTTCATTTTTTAAAAATTGATCTTTTTTTATTTTTGTCAAAATTTTTAATCTGTTATATAGAGAATAAAAAAAATAATTACTTTATAAAAAAATAATTACTATGTAAAAAAATAATTATTATGTTTGATTGTGATGATCAAATTTCAATATATAAAGAAGAGAGCGATAAAAAGAAAAGATCAATTATTTTTTAATATATAACATTTTAATGTAAAAAAATAGAAAATAAAAAGAAATATATATTTTTTTATCGCAGCTCTGAAATTATCGATTAAGGGAGAAGCTAATGTTAACTGGGAAAGAACGAGAACTAGAAAAGATTCTCATGGACGCAATCAGACTGAGGTTGATCATTTCCGAGCAAGCGAACATTATTTTAACTTAACTTATTATCTGTTCGGAAATACAACAGGTAACATTATCATTTATAAGATTACATCGATATTATCAAAAAATATGATAATAGTATCTGTAACCGAATATTATGATAAGATATTTAAATGGAATGATTAAATGGGTTTATTTCAACAATTATTAATTCGAATTAATTGCAGGTATACATGTATAATATAATAGTACAATAAGATATTTTTAATTTATCAAATATATTTCAGGTTCCTCAAGTGATGGAGAAGTACGGATGCCAGCAGGATTTCATAAATACCCTTTTACTTTTTCACTACCCTCCAATATACCATGTAGCTTCGAACATGTAAATGGTCACATCAGATACACGACGAAAGCGGTTATTGACAGACCGTGGAGATTCAATCACGAGTGCAAGATTGCGTTTACTGTAGTCTCATCTTACGATTTGAACAATCACAGTCAACAATGTGTGAGTAAAATCAATATGCGAAAGTTATATATGTGTATATCAATATGCGAAAGTTATATGTGTATATTTCTTTTATCTTGATATTAAGCAAAAATAACTTTGCGATCAAACTAGAAAATGACGATATGCAATACAATATATTTATCGATATTTGTTTCTCACACAAATATATAAAAAAATAATTATAATTATAATATTAATTATAATTATATTTTTATATATCTATAATTTTTTAGCTCGGCATAGATGACGAAACGAGTGATAGCTTCTGTTATTTCTGCTGTGTCAATATGGGTTCGATAAAAACACGTATTAAAATACCGACAACGGGATTCGTTCCAGGCCAATCGATAGAAACGATGATCAATTTAAATAATACCAGTAGTGTCAATGTGACGAAGATCTGCGTTAAATTGGAACGGGTAGGTTTAATCGTTGTCATCGCGTGTCATAATTCACTATAGCCATATATCATTTGCCTATACATATAATCTATCCTATCAAATTAATTTTTACCTATAGAATATAATTACATTTTTTTATAATTCTCATTCCAAAGTCCTTGGAATTCCATGCGAAAACACCGTATAATTCGACTAAAACGGATAAAGCGGTCATAAAGGCCGGACATAATACGGGACCATTCAGCCAATATGACGATATTATATCACGATTACAAATTCCACCGATACCACCATCCCAATTGGAATATTGCAATATAATAGATCAGAATTATATCTTACGCATTACAATTCACGTCTCAGGAATGTACGTATATATTTCTCCTAAATTATGTGGATCTTAATTTATTCCAGGTAGCAAAATAACGTCTAAAAACGTCTTAAAAACGTCTTAAAGACGTCTTAAAGACGTCTTTAGACGTCATTTTGCTACCTGGAATATACATGTATAAATTCAATCATACGTTATAAAGAACTTGAAAATTCTTTTTAAAATTATTTTACATCTAAACTCGCAATAAATTTTTTATTTGATTGAATTAAGATAAATTTATGTTGATTGACGATTCGTTAAAAATCAATTCAATTTCTGCGATAGGCATTGCAGTATCACCAAGACTTATCCAATCTTGATCGGAACAATCCCACTGCATTCTGTATCTCATACACAAACTATACAGCCTACAGCTCCAATGATGCAATACGATGATGATCCTCCTCCACCAATGCCGACGTCTCCAGACTATGCCTCACCAAATTTGCCTTATCCAGGATCTCAACCCATAGGTTTTACAAATCAACCTAGCACTTCGGTTAACCAATGGGACATACGTGAGTAGAGCTGAATAGCTGTTTTTTTAATCATTAAAATTTCATTGAGATATATACATAATAATCGTTTTCAAAATTTAATAATTAATCTTAAAAATAAATGTATATTGGATTATATTTTGTACTATATAAATGAATGTTGCATGATTTCATGCTGTAAAATTATTATTAGTTATGATGTATTGTATGTGCATGTGTGTATATAAAAGAAAATAAAAAATTACTATAAATTTTAAAAAATTTTTCTTTTTTTAGCGCCGCCATCATATGAAGAATGTATGCAAAGAGCGGATTCTATTAAAGATCACGATGAATCTAATTACGTGCACGGGGCCAACGAACCTTTCGCACCCAGATATCCAGTTTTTAATTTCTCAATGCCTTGTAAGAACGAAACATAATTATTGCTAAATGCTTTACATCATTTCGAAAACGATGCGCATACCTATGCATATTTTATTCCATAGATCCATCTGGAAAATAAGATGAAATGTTTGGAAAATAAGCACAGATAAGACGGAGGAGTATATCCTATACCACCAACAAACTTATTGTTATTTGACATAAACTTGCAAAAGCAAGCATGCTAGAAAAATATAGATTTCTGATACTACCTCATATAATGTATTCGAATATATTTATATAATTATTATCATATTTAGTTTTTTTAATATAAATTGTAATTGTGTGTATTTTTATATTTTATAACTCTATACTATTACTCTTTACTATCGTCTATACTATTACTCTTTACTATCGTCTATACTATTACTCTTTACTATTATAAATGTATTACGTTTTACATCGAATAAATAATGTTTATGTATGATGTATAATGAAAAATATAATTTTGAGATACTTTATATATTCGATATTTGCGTTTATAATGGTTTGACACGTTTAAACATTGAAAAAATGTCGCAAATTAAAAATCCATAAAGAAAAATTTATTGCAGGAGCAATAAAAATAGTTACGCGAAAATGATATATTTACATAATTTATTTTATATCTCAACATCATCATATTATAATCATCATTATCGAGTTGTATAATAGCAAAAGTAATGTTAATAAATTTTTGAATTTTGAGGGGAACGGATAGTAGGAATTAACGAATAATAAAAATAACGCAATAAACAAAGGGAGCAGGAGGAGGAGGGATTCATCCCGATAACTTTTACAAGCCAATCGATTTGAATGCGGAGAATGAAGCATGGAAATTGGAGGTAAAGCAAGAGTTGTAACCAGAAAGGGCTTATGACATAGTCATGAACTTAGCACGAACGGTCACTCCTATGTGAGATTTTCTATTCTACAATAATTGTACTCCAAATTTACAGCATAGCAAATGTATATGGTACAACTATTCACATTCAACCACCAAATGCCCAGCAAACGTATCATTGTAGGAACTGAATCCATCCATCTTGAGGCATTTAATACCGCTTTAAACATTGCGAATGAACGTCGGATATCTATTGCACGATATTGCTGTCGGATGACTGCAAAAGATGATTAAGCCGGTCGAATAACTAAGTTTTTATTCCGAAAAGAGACATTCCAATGTTCGCCAATTATTCTTATACCGCAAACTCCGCTTACTGCCACTTACACGTGAATGGTCCCGTTTATTATCAGAACTTGTGTTCTTGTTAATGCAGGTATTATCGAAATCTGTATGTTTCCTTGTGACGGACCATTCTTACGACCTATGCTTTCAGTGCAATTTTATGTGTTACAGAAACATCCGAAGCAAAATCGATAGGAAATAATGCGCTAATTCATTTGCGAGATTAATATCGATGAATGTGTACGATCCTAAATAGTGTCCGTAGGAGTTTACTCGTGCTAATTCGATATAATTCACGTAATAATTGAAGTTGAAATAAATTCATATTAAGCACAAGAATAATTAAATTGTAAGAAAAATTCACATAACTATAGAGATTCTTAATGTATAATTATAAGAAACATACAGCCAGGAATCGCGAGCGCGGACTTATTTAATAATAAATAAAATTAATAAAAATTCGTATACAATATTATATTAATTTCAAGATAACAAAGAATAAAGTCCGAATAATGTTAAAATACTTGATCGCACAAAGACAAGAAGAAAAATATGTATAATATATTGATTTTTGTGTCCTTGACTCGATAATGTTTCCTGACATTTTTTTCTAAATTTTTTCATCTTGGTTGTCGGGAGGGAAAAGGAACTGTGCGCTCCGACTTTACAAAAATTTACTTCGCTTATATTACAATAACCTTCCCTCGATTTAAAACACACACATCATTTTTTTCAACCCTTAATATATTATTATCATAAATAAATTTGGTCTATCGGTAATATTGTGAATACGCCGGTACAAATACTGGCAGTATTTGGTTAAGTAAAAATCATGATCACTAGAAGAGGTAACTTGTACGGGATCGATTGCGATTGTAAGAACAATTCTTCTCGAGTATTTCATTCCTCTTTTTTTACATTTCGCGCGAACACGCACAAACGTCGTTTTAATGTCATTTTGCAAATTTGACAAAAGAAATCTGTATTAAATGACGTAAACACGCACGTTACTACTTCCAGCAAACTTGATTTAATATTCTTTAATTGTCGGAGGTTTCGCAAATCTATCCACGATAGAAGCACAACTTCCTGATTGGATGCCAATGATACTTTCCTTTGTTCAACTATCATTTATATATAATCTAGTGCGAAATAAAATCGTTAATGCCCTACGATAGATTTCTTCAAGAAAAACATTTCTATAATCGTGTCATTACTTTTATGATCATTTCCTCATTGTCAGATAAATATTCCATGAAAATGAATGGAGTACATGTAGATCGTCTATCAAAAAGAAACTTTCATTTCGATAGGCTATGTATGTACGGCTCTCAAATGAGTTTCATGATAAGTGATCAGTTGATGCGCGACAAAGGCAAAGGTATAAAGCTACTTCGTGAATAGATCTACCAAATGGAACCGATAGGGGAGTGCTGTGAGTCAAGTAGATCGGCTTGAAAAAACGGGCATTGTAACAGGTGTCCTCAACATTTCCAACTTGATCTATCAAGACTGCCCCGGTCAGCATATATCGTAAACTATCGCGACCCATTTATTCGCGCCTCGTGGCGCCTTATTTTAAAAAAATAATCAATGTTGTTGTGTTATTGTTGCCGCTGCAATGTGGCGTAATAGGTTCAAGACAAACATCAACATCTCGTCTCTACTTATGTGTACTGTCATACCATCAGTACAATCATTAACATTAAATGAGATTAAGAAAAGGCATTATTTTACATTGTCATCGTACATATGTTGATCCAAGTCATGAACCACAGGATGCTGGGTTGTGCACATGTAATGTTTATTTTATATATACATATATATCAGTACATATAATATATATATATACATATATATATATTATATATATAAAGTAAAAATATATATATATATATGAATTCATGTATGTGTTATTGTGTGTTTATGTTGTTTGTGGTATGTGTTTTGCGCAATCACTTTACATTATTACATTGTTTTTTTCTTTTCAGTCCAGCTTTTCAAAGACCTGCAAAAAAAATTTATATTTGCCCCACTTGTCTGTACAACAACAAATAATCATTACATATAATGTTTTGGTTGTTTTGAAACTTATTGGTTCTTATTTTGTATGTTCAGTAAGACACTTAGAATAAGGTCGTATATTTTACTTATATATGTATATGTATCCAAAAATAAAAATAGATTTGCACAATCAATAATCAAATAATGGACTCTTGTGTAAATGTAATTATACATAATTTTGTTGAAATCAATATTGTTATTCAATAAGTTATGTGACTCTCTATACTGTGACTAAATGATTCCTTTTTTTTATCGATATATAAAAAGCATGTGATTAAATTAAATCATTAAACAAGCATAATCATGAAAGAAAAAAAATATGCAATATAATGATGGAACAGTTTGAAGATAGGAAAGTTATATAATAAAGCTTATTCTTGTCAATTTGTCTAAGATTAACCAAATAAAATCTCAAAGCATACCATAATTACGTGCGTATCTTTAACCTTCTCTCTTAATGGCACCAGGAGCTTCAGCTAGTCCTTTAACTTTAAGCCGGTCTGCTGTTTTGAGAAACGCTGGTAACTGATCTTGTGAAACGTTCACTTCACCTGCGTACATGAATTCTAGAATGGCTTGCAAATGGCTGTATGCAACATCCTTTAGAATTATGATAGGATGTTTGGACGGATTTTCCTGTAATATCAAACAATGAATTCGTTTAAAATTACTTGATATAATAAATTATTACCTATCATTTATCGCAGAATAAACAATATACCTCTAACAAGGATTTGAAGTAAGGACTACAGGCGGATAAGACCATTTTATGCGCTTTACAAGTTTGACCATCGCAAGCCAATGTCACATCCGTGAAACTTTTTTCATCTCGCAGGTGTTTGAACGACGACACCATATTCGATTGGAAGTCGTTCCATTTAAGAAAAAACTGCTGTTGTTCTCCCGCCATAGTGATTGCTGATATTGCCCTATAACTTCCACGTAATTGTGCAGTCTGCAAATAAGATGAAACAAAACATCAATCATATAAACAGATCAGAATTGTCTCTTATACTTATTTATATGACAAAAAGAAAGACAAAAAAATCAAATAAAGCAGGTGGAAGTGACACATTTAACGAAGAGACGCTCGCGAAGACGCGCGTTTAATCTCGCAAACTATCCAGAGTACAAAGTGAAAAACGTGATCTCGCGACAAATGCTGGCTGTCAACGAAAACAATGCGGAAGAACGAACTTTCTTGAAACGTGCAAACGCGGGAAGTCCTCGCGCCAAGTAACTCTTGTAGGTTAAGCCAGGGGATATCTCGGCGAGGGAGCGAGCGGGACGCGATGACGCGGATCGGACGAGCTTCGCCGCGAAGCGGAGCGTATCATCTCGCGACTTAACGCGGACCTAACGACTAATGGACGCCGCGTCCGCGTTAAATCGCGCACTCGTTGACAACACGCGTGCGTCCGTCAGCCCGTCCCCGTCCCATCAAAGGTCGGCGCACACGGGGCCCAGCACAACACACGGCGGCCCACAACACATCGGGATTGAAACGCGCGACGCGAGGACGAGTCTCTTGGACGCGCGATCGCTTACTTCGCGTCGTCGACGAATCCTGGACGGGGCGTCGACGTGTTTGTCACCAGCACCTTGCTGCCGAGGGGACGCGAAAAATACGCAGCGCCGAAAACTTTTTGCGCGATCACCACGATTTTTTTGTTGTGACTAATATCGCGACGACGGAAATTCGGTCGGGCTCGTGCCTTTCCGGTGGCGATCGGTCCGCGTTGTATGTACCGACTGAAATTGTTCTCAAACGCGATGTCGGATGGCGCGACTGACGCGATCCCAGTCGCTGAATCCTCGCCATTGCCTGTTTGCGGACGAATTTCGGTAAGTCGCACATTTTATGAATATTTTATATTAATATATCCTGTACAATCTCATAGATCTTAGTTAAAATTAATCCATGATTGATTGCGCCTCTCTTGATTTCTGTTTTTTAAAAGACAGAACCATAAGAAGATATAAAAAGATTACTTATTGTAGTTAACTTTAACCTATATTTATCGGCCTGTGATTTTTATTTTTTATCAGCGCGCGCGTGCGATGTGATATTCAAAATACTTTTAATATTAAATTATTTTAAAATGTATAAATATACTTACACAAAACTTATAAATCCTAAAATTTACATATGAGTTTTTCTTATAAATTTACAAGAATTTAAAAATGTTAGATTGTAATAAATCTTAATAATATTTTAAAGTAGGAAGAAGTAGTAAGAAGTGGATTTCGTGAATGAAAACTTTAATTTACAAAATATATATAAAGCACATAAAGAGTACAAATATATATTCATATTTATTTTCCTAAATTATCACTACGCTATTATTTCTGTGTGAATGTATGTGTGTCTATGTGTGATAGTCATTAACAATTAATAAGATTAATTAATATTTCTTAATTAATGCTTCTTAAAAAATATATATAAATATATATATATATATATATATATATATATATATATATATAATGTTTTGAGAAGTATTAATTAAGAAATATTAATTTTATCAATTGTTAATGACTGTCACACACAGATACACATGCAATCATTAAAGCATTTTTCTCGTGTATATGTATATATATATATATATATATATATATATATTATATATATATAAATTTGTACACAGAATAGAAATCTTCATATCAGATATCTTCATTTAGAGGAAAAATTTAAACATAAAGAGAATAAAATAACAAATGCAAAAAATGAAATAACACATTATTAGGTCTCTCACTTCGATTTCGTTCGTTATTACGTAATGTATGTAGTGGCATATATATACATATATATATGTATATATGTCACTATATACATTATATAATAATTTAATAATGCGCTATTATATAACTTAATAATGCGCTATTTCATATATTCATTTTTTTGCTTTTTTTATTTTATTATGTAATAATTAATGATTCTTGTAAAAGAATGTTAACACGATTTTAATCTCGAATCACGCATAAAAATTACTTCTATTTTTTTTGCCTTGATAGCGACAAAAATAATCCGTACAAACGTGCGTAACTTATATGCAGAAACTTATCGTTTTTCAATTCGCGCGATTAATATGCGTCAACGTGCGTTCATAGATCAACGCACGCGTAATTACTGTGCGCACGATATTAAAGATAAAAGTTCATGTTGATAAACAATCGAATATGACGCAACAATGATTCATTTATTCGTGATGCACCTCGCGTATAGAGATAGCTAGTCTTAAAAAATAAATTATCTCCGATTAAGCTGATTTAGCAATAATAACCGGAAGAGGATGAAACGTTTCAGAAAGCTGAAAAATTCTAAGGCAGTTCCGATGAAAGCATAAAGATAAGTGTTTTAAAATTATCGAAAGTCGATAAAGAGCTAAAGTATAAATAAGGAAATGAAATATATGTACAATATATATTGCTTGAAATTATATATATATATATATATATATATATATATATATATGAAAAAATACGAAAAGAAAAAGAAGAAAAAAGGAAGAGACATATGTTGGTCATCTAACTTATTTTATTTCAATTCGATAAAACGCGTTAAATAATCTTTTATTGTAAACCGTAATTATTGCCTAGAAATTCAGAAATAATATGTAATTATATAGCTATTTCACGAATTTATTTTTATTAGTGTTAGTCGATAGTCTTTAAATTTTATTGAAATGCAAATTAAATTTTCTAACTCTCTAAAGCAAGGCGCGATACTTGACAATAATAAAGATTTTTATCGCAAAATTCTTAAAGACTAACAGAAGAAAATAAGTGTAACAAAAGATTTCTGCTCAATTCTGGTTACCGTGAATTGCGCAATATCGTGCAAACGGTGACATATTCCTATCGGCTGCAACGGCGTACTGTTAACTGCACTTAATGAGTACCGATTATAGCGATAGGTGCCACAAATCACAATACATGATCTTTATTATATTGTATATGCATAAAATGTATAATATACTTTTTTAAGTATATTTAAATAACTACCGAATATAATTGCGTGTATCCCAGAATTTTTGTATTGATCCAAATTCGATTACTATCGATTCGATAATTATCTGTACAGTAATTAATAACGAATAATCCGATCGTGAATCGTAAAAATTAAATTTTTAAAAATCCGTGCACCCATCGCGAGTTGAAAGAAAGCCATCTTTCGTACGCATAGCATCGCGCGAGTAGTGTGGCATCGGGGGTTTGATTCCCCAAACGCCGAAAAACTTTTTCCATCGCGCGGAACCGTGACCGCAGCATATGTGAGGGCACGAAAGAGGACGAGAAAAAGAAAGAGAGAGAAAGAGGACACGCGACGCTTGCCTGAATCGAATGGGGAACGAGAGGGGGACCGCGAAGAAAAAACGGGCGAAACGCGTCGGAGATAAAGAGAGAGATGTGAAAAAAATAATCAAAATCGGAGGAAAGTAAAAGAGAAAGAAAGAGAGAGAGAAAGAGAGAGAGAGAGAGAGAGAGAGAGAGAGGAGGAGGAAAGACGTGCGTAGATAGCGAGCGAGAAAAGCGAGAGCAAGAGTTAGAAATAAAACAGGGCCCGGAGGAGAGCAAGGAGCGGGGAAGAATGAGAGCCGACTCGTACAAGAGCGAGCGCAAAGACGGACGAGAGGAGGAGCGCGGTCCGGAGGACGCTTCGCGCTTGCCTCCTCCCGCGGTCCTCTTTCGGAGGGGACCGAACGTAAAGAGGAACGTGCGGGAGAAACATAGCGTCACGCGAGCGCAAGCGCAATGAAGTACAGTCGCGCGGGCCACATTGAAAGCTTGTAACATGCCGCCGAAGCGAACAGTCGCGCGCTAACTTTCATGCGGATTGTTTCGCCGCATCGGGCTCTCTCTCTTTCTCTCATGTGTATCATGAATGCGAGAGACAAGAAGTAATACAGAATCGTTGCGCGTGTGGGCGTCAGTAAACCGCGGCGTTTGACGTGGAGCGGACACGCGACTAAAGTTAAACGGACAACAGACGGAACGTGTGATCGTCGAGGTCTTCGTGATCTCGGAATATATAATCCGTTATAGCCATTGAGTATTTGGAACAGTGTCAAAAGCTACGACGCGCGATTTCGAGGAAACGACGAGGTCCATTTATTATCCGCGACGGTGACGGTGTGGATAACGATAGCGGATCTCGTTCTTGGATGACAGTAGTACGCGATCGAGGAAGAGAAAGATAAGGTAAATAAAGTAGAAACAACGAAACGAACGTGGACCAAGACGAAATTTCTACGCACGGACCTACAGGTGGTTGCGAGAGTCCTTCCATCTGTGATGTGCGAGTGAACAATGGAATCACCGGTTATGTACGATTCGGCGGCCCATCAGGCCCAGGCCCAGGGTACGGCCGACCTGAAGAAGTCCCAGGTGCTCAATAACAACACTAGCAATCAGAATAACAACAACGCCGCGACAAACAACAATAATAATTCCGCTCTGCAGATCAATCATAATCATAACCATAACCAGCAGTTGAATAGCGCGGTGGTGAGCAAAGTGGCCGCCAGTAAGGCGAGCTTGCATCAGCAATACGCCGAGCATTGCGCCGCCGCTGGTGAACTCACCGATCTTAACACCCCGGAGATCTCGCTGGACCTCCAGCATCTGATCGATGACAATCACTTCAACGACGGCTTATTAGACATGCTCAGCGCCAGCAACGGGGTGAAGCACGTGAGACCGGGCAACTATAACACGCGCACTACGCTCGCATACATGCCGCAGCCAGTGCACAGCGGCGCGAATTATCATCAGGGCAGCTGTAGCGATAGTAACAGTTCGAGCTCGGAATCGCCTAGTATCAAGGAAGAACCGTTGGATCCGGCGGACTATCGACGCCACTGTCCTCAATATCCGCCGGGTTACAACCCGGTGACGAACAATCCGTTCGCCAATGGCGGCCAGACATTTACCACCCTAGCACCGTCCACGATACCCGGCAATCATCCCGGCACGCCGATTCACCAACCACCGCCACGGGGCGGCCCTATGAAAGGACCGGTGATAACTCATCAGCATCACGCCGCCGCCAACGTCGCCAGAAAGCAGACCAAGGCCATCGACAAGGCGAGCGACGAGTATAGACGACGGCGGGAGAGGAATAACATCGCCGTGAGGAAGAGCCGCGAGAAGGCGAAGGTACGATCGCGCGAAACCGAAGAGAAGGTTAAGCTGCTGGTTAAAGACAACGATCTGCTGAAGAAGCGGATCGAACTCCTCACCGAGGAACTCAACGTCCTCAGGTCGCTCTTCGGCAACAGCATGCTACCCGAGCATCTGCACCGCGAAATCACGAGGCATCTCGACCAATTCCAGCAGCACGCGGTTGGACCCATGTAGCAGCAACGCGCGGACATAGCCGCGCGATGATGACCGTATGAAACGACGTCGTTTGACTCCGACGTCGACGTTTACTCGCGTCCCTGGCCTATCAGGCTGCTCCGATTGCGAGGCGAAGTCAGTCGCGTCTTCCGCCTTCCTCTCGCGTCTCCGCGCGTACACGCATCGCGTAAATCTCTCGTCCTCTCGCGCTCCCTGCCTCCCTCTCGCTCACTCGTTCCCTCTTTCTTCGTCTTCTTCTTCCTTCTCCGTCTTCTGCGTCGTATCTTATGTCTCGCTCGATTCGGAGTGCGCGACGCGAGCGCACGTGCATGCGGACGTCGTTGTCGCGAAGCCGCGAGCGTGGGAGGGAAAAGAGGGGAATCTACGAGTCGCGTAGGAAGACAATCGAGAACAACGAGTTACTCAACGCGAGCTTTGCAGCGACTTTGCAACTGGAGAACGCGATCGGCACGATGATGATGCGCGTGTTCGAAGACAAGTGCCTCTATCCGTGGTCCTTCGCTCTCGAAAGAGTGCTATTCGGGGACTAAAAGAAGACGAAGGGGTCGATAACCGAAAATAGATGACAAAATCAATTGCGTGGACTGCAAATGATAACGTGCGATCTCCCCTGATAAAACCGATCGAGAATCGTGGAAAATTGACGAAGGACGCGAAGAAAAAGGCTGTCCGATCTTTTCTTTCTTTCTCTTGTTTATTCTTCCTCCGTTACTTCCTTTTAACGTCTTGTACCGTTCTCATCGTTCTTTTCTTCGCGCTTATGGACTACATAAGTAAGACTGTCGCTCTTATCAATCTAGATAATTTCGGATTCCCCTTGACGCGGACGCGCAGAATCGCAACACGGAGGTGAACTCTGCGAGACATCGAACAAATTATGCCTCTCACCTTAATTGTATATTATATACGTTTCGTACTACACATACATATACACACAGACACGACGTCCGACACACCTTCAACGCGAAAGACACGTACACACGGCGTTGTATTTAGAATCCGATTCTTAGATAACGTTAAATTAATAAACGTAGACTATATTGCTCTTCAATTACCACGTACCTAAAAAAAAAAGAGTCATGTTGAAACACGACGATTTTTATCAATGTGGCTCGAATCGATGTGTATCAATAAGAGAAGTCGATGTTTATTTTCTCTCGATACGTATTCGCTTCCGCGCTCGCCGTGCTCGACAATCAAAGTACAATCGAGCAAGGCAAGTACGAGCAGTCTATTCGCGCCCTTGTGTATTATAGTTCTTATAGTAATTTTATTATTACATACAAAATGTATATATATATATATAAAGCTAATATATTTTGTAGAAGAGAAGTTGATACATATATATGTGTATATATATATATATATATATATATGTATGTATGTATGTATGTATGTATGTATGTATGTATATATATATACAGGGTGTCCCAAACCATCCGTACACCCTTTTTAAAATGAAAATAAATGGCTTTTATCAAAAATCGCGAACAATTTTTAAATAAATCGAGTACGCTCTATCAAATGGTGATATTTTCAACTTTTGATTGATTGAATTTTTTGAGAGGAACATGATACTTTTTATTACAGATTCGAATTGTACGTGAAAAAATAAGAAACTTTTGTTTCTTGTATGGGTGGTCCGGGACACCCTCTATATATGTATATGTATACAGGGTGAATCATAATGGATGTAACAACCTTTTACCATTAGAGATCAATTATCGACTGCAACTGTAATCAATTGAATGATTTATAGATGACAGCTGCTTGGATCGACCGTGTCTGCAGTAACGTACAAGCGAGTTAAATACTGTGAATTAAATAATATACATATTCCATGCATACTTTTCTAATATATTTAACTCTTTTATGTACATATTTTGCTTTCTACACGGTTTTTTTCTAATAACGTGATTTCTTATTATTGTGAAACGTATCTGCCACATAAAAAGAGATATCTTTTGCATTCGTGTATTTTTTAATACGATTTTTTTTTAAATAATGATTTTTTAATACATAGAATTTGACGATTTTTTTCATTCTTACACAAATCATTTTAACGCGTAAAAAGAGTTGGATTGGTAAAGATACAAAAGTATTCTTTTTTTATTTAAAAAAATGCGTAATTCTGCTTTCTACAAGAAATATTCTGCTGTAGATATTAAGAATGTAAAAGTTATAACTTAGAAAATTAATAATAAGTAGAATATCTGAATATAGAATCTATGAATTATTCGATTGATTACAGTTGCAGTCGATAATTGATTTCTAATGGTAAAAGGTTGTTACAACCATTATGATTCACCCTGTATAGAATGCTCGCGCGTGCGAGTATGTGCGAGAGAAACGGCTGGAGAATCGAGAAAATTGTACGCGTGCATACACGCGCGCGAGGGAATTCGTACATCAATATCTGTATGAGTACCTGTGTGAATATATGTAACATACGTATGACTGTATAATCTCGCGTGCATGAATGGGTCGATAGGAGACAAATGAATCAAACGAATTGTTATAATTGCATATTTTATTAGTGGTAAAAGAGAGAGAGAGAGAGAGAAAGGGGCCGAATCATACCTGAATGTTCTATTACAGGCTTACAATCGTATAAAACAGAACTTCATTTTCATTCATATGTAAATCCGATGCCTACGACACAATGACAGCAGCAGCAGCCGGCGTATACCGTGCATTTGTTACGGTTGCATGTATCATATGTGCATTCGCGCGCGAGCGATTTAATTACGGGAAGGCGCTCGCGAACACGGCGTGTAGCGGGTGTGAATGTGACGTACGGCACGCGTGCCTTGATGTATGACTGACGTATGATATTAGGATACGAGATTACCTGTCACAAATCACGGTCATCTTGTCTATGCACAAATATATTTTGATATGAAACGTACGCGCGATGCTTGGTCTCTGGTTCCTTCTTTGTCTCCGTATCACCTCACTCGATCCGTCCACCTTATCCTGCGTCTCGGTCATAAATTTTATCCTTTATGATATGCTTTGAAATTTTCGATCGCATAAAATTACTTTTTATGAGAGATAACGTCAAATATATATAATATTAGAATTTCAACAAACTGTGTGAAATTATTTTTTTCACATTATTATTATGAATGTGTGCTATATCTCATCACGTATTAAACAGATACATGCTATTTATCGCACAATATGCACCACGTAAATATAAACGTCAATCTTTTTAATTATTCTTGTATGTTCCTTAGCACGCATGTTTTGATTTTGAAACTTTTATTCAATAAAAAATAATAATCAGGAAACTATACCACATTCTTCCTTCAAAAAGAGAGAGATTATTATAAATAAATTGTTCAAAAAATTATTAATATAAAATGAAAAATTTATTACTTAATTGTTTAAAAAGACAAGATTCAAGCAAAAGAATTATAACAAAGAATCGAAAAGAATTGAATTAATGGCGTCACATGCGCGATTAAGGCGAGAATGAGCTCCGTGTCTAAGGGAGATTTCTACAAAGTTCCACATCCAAAAAGGGACAATAAAGTAGCCAATTGTTAATCCTCCAGAAAAATCCATGGGCGCGTACATGTTATACAACGTGCAAATATACAAATACAAATACAAATACAATATATATAGAATATACGTATGAAAAGCTATCTGCGCTCGAATCCATCATGACTACTGGTCAGTGAGTCAGAAGATAAGTTTGTTGTTAGATTAAATAAATTAGCAAGTATCACGGAACAGGATACGGTATTTCACGTGTACGCGCGAACGCACGTGCTCGCACCTAGAATCACATAGCAGGCGATGCGCACGAGGAAGCGCATCGCCTGCGCGACGTAATTAATAAAATGAAGTTTTCATATCATAATTTACAAAATTCTAATGATATACGCGGCTAAATTTATATATCTCACTTATGTCAATTGAGAATTTAATAATATTGCTAGAAATTGTAAAAAGAACTGAAATGCAGAAAAAAATTGAAGTAAAAATATTTAAATTATCTCTTCAAATTATTCAAATTATCTCTTCTCTACTAATTATCATATAAGAGAGAGATCGCATTGACATTTCATATAAAGTGTACATCTTATTTCTTTCTTTCTATTTTATTAAAAATTGCAATAAAATAATGGAAAGATTTTGATACAATAGTTCAAGAATATTTTAGAAATTTGTAATTAAATATGTACGTTAATGTATATACAACTTAAACGATTTAAATCTCTGATATTTATTCTTCAATTTTGCTATTCAAAGCTATTCTTAAGAAGTAGAACTCAGGAACTTTGGTGTTCTCCATTCATGTACAATATTCACGTGAATTCGCAAAGTGGTTTGATGATTTTCCCAAACAATTTATTATATTTCTATGTCACACAATGCACAACTTGCATATTGTGTGTATTCACATGTCAAAATATATATATATATATATATTATCCGGACAAAATTTAAAACATAAGTGTACGAGAAATATAGAAAGTATAATGTCGGGGGTGGAAATATTTCCAAAGAATTGAAACCGATATTGAAGAATCATAAGGCTCAGACGTTATCAATATAAAATGCAACTTATAATCGGAGAAATATAATGTAAACATAAAAAATTACATTAGCAATTATAGTACAATATGGGGAACATCATTCAATATTTAATCAGTATAAATTATATTAAAATCATTCAATAAAACTAATTCAACAACTATAAATAAAATTCATTTAAGATAATTTAAGATAAGTATAAGATATATATATATATATATATATATATATATATATATATATAAAAGAGAAAAAAAGAGAAAATATTATTATCTTACATAAATTATCCTACATAAACATAAATTATTCTCCTATGATGATATTCATTTTTCTCGTGCATCAAATGATATGTTTAAAATTCTTAAAATATATATGTTTTTCAGATCTATGGTATTTTATGTATCGAATCTTAAACCTTGTATCTTCTATTTTAAAATATAATAATCTTTAAATTGAATATATTAAAACATCGTAAGATTATCAAAATGTATAAAATTTAGAATAGAATTTAAATAAAAATAATTTTTAAGGAAAAAATAAGATCTATATGTACATAACAAAAATATTCTAATATTTATTTCATTTTTCCTAAAGGTAAATGGTTTGCATTTTAAATCTATCATTAATTTTTCGAAAGTGACTGTTAAAATAATGCTTAAAATATTTAACCAATGTCTTAGGACAAATTTTAACAGTCGGAGAAAGGAAAGTAACGTTTCTAAAAATTTCTGAAAATTTCCATATTAATTATATTAAGATTGATAAAATTTATCAATTAATAATTAAAAATATATTCTCAACAGATTATCATTTTCAAATATTTCTTGAGAAACCACCAAGTTTATATAATAAATAAAAATGTTAAAATTTGATTTTTAAATTCATAATAATACCAAGAAATGAATTAGTCATAGAGATGAAAAACCGACTAATATGATTATAAAAAATTGTAATATTGCTTTGTAATAGCATTCATTAAATAGATTGCATTAGAAAATTGGCATTTAGTATCTAAAAATTAATTTTTTTTCATCTGTTAAAAAATTCTGAATCTGTATATATATCTACAATATATTTAGACAATTCTAATTCTAGACTTTTGTGCCAAACTAGTTATAAGGTTTTATCACTTTTATTCTTTCAGTACTACATATATATATATATATATATATATATATATATATATACATATTTTAATAAGAGATGTATTCGATTAATAAAACTGCTCAGCTTTCTATTATCTTATAATTTTTTCTTATGATTAAAATAGCGTAGGTTAGGTAGTAAATCATAAATAATAAAGAATAATAAATAAATTTTGTGAATTTTCATTACTTCAAACATTTGATATACAAAATGTAAATTTGTATATCTTACAAAAAAATTTCAAAGTATCGCATCTTGTGCTATCATATATTTATGAAGATTTCTTTTCATTAAAAATAACAAATTAAATAAACAAATTAAATAATTTTTATAATTAATTTTGTGACATTCGACGATATTTTCTCGACAACGTCAGCAGTTTAGCTTTGTTGTCGCATTAAATTTCTGACATAATATGCCAAGTTTTGACGCCTAAATGTCTACGTGCACGTGTCGTCGACGATTCTAGTTTTAGATACAAGCTAATGTTCATACACGGTACATCTATTTTTCGAACGTTCCTTTGAATTGAACAGTAACTTCTAGAAACGAGTAAATTCGTCGAAACGATTAATCGTTTATATATATATATATTATAATTATATATATATATATATATATATATAATTATAAATATATATATATATACATATATATATAATTAAATATATATATATATATAATTCTTTTATTTTTATCAATATTTCTTTCATCTGACGCTAGAATATACGAGGTTAAGACTAACTTGTGTGATATACAATATCTGTTATTAGTATTTATCAGCGACTTATCAGTATCATAAAGCTTCGTTTAATTCTTTACATTTACGCAGCTACGATTTATTCACATTCTCCGAGTCAAACACTAATATTTACTCACAATTGATTTTATTTCACTTAATTTTCTTAATTTTTTAATTACTTTCAAGATGTAATTGTTAACATAAATATATTTAAGATATAATTGTTAACATAAATATATCTATTTGTTTTTATTGTCAGAATATTTATGTTTTCAATTGTTATACATATTTAAAAAATAAAAATATAATTATTATATAATATAGTTAATTGAAATATCTCTGTTAATCTCAAATGCATTTCTCGATATAATGATATACGTATGAAATTCATCGCGCAACGGAACGCGCATTAGCAGTAATTTAATACAGAAAATTTTACTCATATTATATGTTACCTACACTCTTATTATCAGTTAGCTCTTTGTTCTAGCTTCAGCGATCATGGCATAGTGCCAATTTGAATTATAAGAAATATAGTAATCTCTAATTCATATTAATATTATTATTTGCTTCTTTCTATAGACATTAAAAGTATCGGTATCATTTCAGTTTATCTTACAGATATTATAAAGGAAATAGCCTATAAAATTCTGTTCCTCCGCATTAGAAATAAAAATATAAAATAAAATATTTTACTAATAAAATACTTGCAAAATTGTGGCAAAGTTAAGCAATTAAAATTAACGATATTTTTTAAAATTCTCTCTTTTAAAGCCACAAATTACAAAAATATTCCTAAATTAACATTTTCTAAGACCTTATAAATATACTTAAAAAATTGCGAACCGTTTATAAAAACAAAGAAAGAATATATCTATATTTACTAATCGCCATTTTATCAATATTGTCGATATTCTAAAAAAAAAAAGTGGAAAAGTCTGATAAAGGCGCGCCGTCAGCAACACGATACTTTGCTTTCCCGGCCGTGTGTTTATAGTTACCTGCGTTCCTATTCGTTCGCGACCGCTTGGTCTCTATTCTGGCTACGATGGTATATGGGTTAGGGCCAACTCTGCCAAGACCGCCCCGCACCCACGCCCGATTCTCTTTTCGCACATATACGACGAACAAGCCTCACGCAAGCGAACGAGCGAAGCCGCTCGGCTCTCTCGCAAACTTGTATTTCGCGAGTTGCATCGCAATGTTGTGTATAACACGAAACAAAGTTGTACTTGCTCGCGCATCCTCCGGATCTAACAAAACTTTAATATGGTCACTAGCACAACGGATGACATTGAGTCGACCGTTCGTTGGTATACTCGTATCCCGAGCCAGATTCGCAAGATGTGCAGCGGAAGCGGTCTCCGAATTAGTCGCGTCGCGTCACCTCGCAACATCTTAGCCCCGTCAACGTTTGTGACAGCATCTCATCTATTAATTTTAGCTACTAATGACCGAGAATGACAGATGTTATTTATGTTATTAGTTATTAAAATGTTATATACATAGAATAGTCCATTACTTTAATATTAAAAGATGCTATAGATAGATCAGAAAAGTTGTAGATGGGAAAATGAAAAGTAAAATTAGATGAATATCGTGAAGAGTTAAATTTTGGAACGATCTATCCTTTCACAAAGATGTATAATATAATATAATATGCGTAATTCGATGTATTCATAAATCAGTATCAAGTTACAAATAAAAAGTTCCCTAACTTTCAAAATAAAATAACTTTCATTTTTAGTAGTTATTGTATGAATTATAAAAGTCTCATTATAAAAAAAATAAATGATAAAGATAATGAAAATAATATTGTAATGAGATAATTTGATAATATGTATCGAAAAGCATAATAGGACATAAAAAAATTAAAGAAATGTTGAACATTTTTTAATTAATTTTCTTAAAATTAAAGTTTGCATATAAAATTTTTATTTTGTAGAATTTCAGTCGGATGGAAACGCATCTAATCCGGAGTTAAAAGGGGTCTGCCGTCGATCGGCATCGCGAGACTCAAGCACGATGTGGGTGTGACCTGGTTTGCAAGAGTTTCACTTTCCTGTAACATCGTTGCACGGAGGAGGTAAGGAGGATTCGACCCCAGAATTACGTCATGCATTGTTATGCCGGCCGTAACGGCTCGTAGTCGTACGTGCGGAACTCTGCGAGAATGAAAATTAACGAAAGAGACAAAAGAAAAAGAAAGAGAGAGAAAGAGAGATTCGGGTCCCGCGCGAATCGATTGTCGCCGATGGACTGTGGCGATCTCTTATACATTATATTGTTGCTGTACATTTCAATCAATGTCGTTCGAACGATGATCGTAACTTAAAACTCTTCGAGATATCTGAATATATACAAATACAAATTCCCAATTAACTGGAAAAAGTTTTATTACAATTGAACTTTAATAATTCTTGATTTGTAGATCGGAATTTTCATTATTTTATAATCAAATTACAAAAATTATTATACATATAATTTATTATATATATATATATATATATATATATATATATATAAATTCAGAATTAAAAATCTCTCAAAATTCTCTGACTCTCTTAAAATATAAAATTGAAGTGTAAGAATCAAAAAATTGACAAGATGTTATACATATTTAGATACACACATATTTATATGCTTATTATAACATATTTATTCAAGAACACATATAAATCTTTTTCGTCGAGTTTCTTCAGAAAAGATTTTCTATACGGATTTTTTCACAATAATTTAATATTCTCATTAATCTGCCGTGCGAACATGATAAGACATCGTGTCGAACTCAGTACGTGTATGCGTGTACTTATGTGAATGTTGTAACTATACGTATATCCTCCTGATCTTTGAGTGTCGGAGTAACAAGTACATAAAAGAGCGCTCTAGCGTGCGACCTATATTCCACGCCTGCATCGCTATATTAGACGCGTACGACGCATCAGGGACGCGCCTGAAAGCGCCTCTCTCTCTCTCCCCTTCTCTCTCTCTTTCTCTATTTCACCTGCTGCCAATCAAATCCAAATTCAAAAAGCAATAAATAAGTATATTCATAGCTTACTTGTATATTTAAACAAAGGAATTAGGAAGGAAAAAAGATAAATAATATTAATATAATAATTGAACATGAGATAAAAAATGAGATTTAAAGTAATTTATGTAAATCTGTGAATATAACAAAATGAAAGAAGATTTAAGGTAATTTATATAAATCTGTGCGAATATTCATATTTCTGACAGTTGGTGTTTATTATTCTTCTGTGAAATTTGCTTTGATGATTTCGATGTGTTTTCTCTTGCATCGGTTTTAGAAATAAATAATCAAACGAGGAATAAAAATTTCCTCGAAAAATGCACAAATTTGCATATTTGGTATCGCATAACACCTGGACAATGAGAGTGACAAATTCGTCACAAGCGCATATTTATAGTGAGTTATGTATGTACTACACGCACGAATAATGATGCATTTATTTTTCATGAGAGAAAGATCGTTCGATCGAGCTCTTACGAATTCGGACGTGCAGCCGGTTCTCATCCCACGCAAACCGATGCGCGCGTGACAGCACGCGTGCACGCACGATGCGCGTTTACGCGAGGAAGTCGGAGGATTTATTTTCGTCGCGGCCGCATCCGAACGCACCCACTCGCTCTCAGGGAACCGCAGGCACTCTAAAGGCCACACACCGGTATCTTTATACGGTCGTTTACTCTCCGAGACAACGGTAAAACGGTAGGGACACTGCCTAAAAGTTAATGAAAATCACTTCCGCATTGGCATCTTATATGCAAGCAATGCATCATAATCTGATTGTAGGATACGCATACCTCGGAATCGAAATAATTAAGAAGCTAGTTTTTTTTAAGTGTAGTATTCTGTAATTTCTTATATATATTTATATTCTCAGTTTTATACGTGCTTAAGGAAAATACGTCAAATTATATTTATGTGAAATGATACTTATATAAAAATTTAAATTATATTTATATAAAAATATATAAATCTTTATACACAAATATTTTTAAGTTATATACTTTGCATAATGAGAAAATTTTAGTATCCTGAAATTTTCTCATTATACAGTGTATTTATTTTATATATGTTGTAACGCATTTTTGATACAAATTTATTGCATGCGGATTCACGTTAAATCAATGCACCGAGAGTATGCGAAAAAGTAGTCCTTAATTAAACTTAATTAAAGGGGTTACAATTATAGTTGGATGCTACGGAACCTGGATAATCAGTATAGAAACATTTCAAATATGCATATCGCTCGCGGCATAAAAGGGTTAACGAGAGTGTTCTCATGAGTGGATTATGCCATTCGCTTAGTTAACGCCGCATAAATCTAGCAAATGATTAGTATGGTACTCTGTGAATTGATGAGGATATAAGCATTCGCGTCGTGTCATCACTATAAAAGTTCGATTCGCATGGAAAACGTAAAACAGAAAATTGAAAGATTCAATACAAAAAATGACAAAATTCATAATATGTGAGGCGCATTTCAGTTTATATATTTATTTAACGCGAGATTTATAAATCTATCTCAGTCTTGCTTTGAATCCTTTATATATTTATATATGAAGGAGAGACGATTGAGTGTGCATTGTTAGAGTTTTTAAAGAAATTATCTCAAAAAATATATTAATCGACAAATATATATCCTTGACATGCTATGCATTGATTGTATTTTTAAGAAGCATCATCAGATGCATATCGAGCAATCGATTCAATTGGCGAGAGTATTTTGCGAGCAGGACAGCGTGATATTAATAACCGGCCGAGAAAGAAACCCGACGATTCCATATGGCCAACCTAAATTCTATAAGAGCTGTGGATATAACTAACACAATCTAACGGTAATAAGTTACATAGAAGCAACGGGTGGATTAGGTCCAATTAGAATAGTATATGTATAATACATGTGATTCGTGATACTCTAAAAAATCTAACTTTTAAGTACATATACCAAATTTTTGAAGAAAAATTTAATTTATAAGAATTTGGAAACTTTTTAATTCTCTTTTTATATAGGCTTCTAGTTTTACATATATATATATATATATATATATATATACATTTTATTATTATTCGTGAGATATTATAATATATATAATAATTAATACATAATTATAGTATTTTATTATATATTTATTTATTATATATTTTATTATATTTATTATATATATATATATATATATATATATATGTATGTATGTATATAATACATAATATAATAAAAATAATAAATGTTTATTATACATATTTTATATATATTAATATTATTTTATAATATCTCACGAATACTATAAGTAGACAAACAAATTACATAATGCTCAATCTTAATTGTCAATCGATCGCGCAAAAATGGATTTTGAATGCACTTTCCTCTTGCAGAACCACGAAATTGGAGATACTTATAATTGGAATTATAATGACACGCTTGTCCACGCGAATTTGTTCTACGATCGAGAAATTCGTGTTTGCATTCGATCTGATCGAGATATTAAAAAATACGTCAATAAACCTTTGCGACTCAACCGTCGACAGCGCGCAGTCGATGTCCTCTACCCGTCGAAAGACCGCGATCTCAGCTCCTCTCATTAAATCACAAATGAATGACATTAGCGGTGCTATAATATCGTGCCGCTATTACCGTGACGGGTATTACGTGTCACGAGGCGCGTTCTCTCTCGTTCTTCTATCTCTCTTGTTCTCTATCTCTCTCGCTCTCACTTCCTCTTTAGCCTCGCCACTCTCTCTTTCCATCTCCCTCCTCCTTCTCCTCCTCTCTGGAAACGCTCTTACTGTTGCATGCAAGGAATCAGGTCACTGCGCTGCAAGAAAGCAAAAGCCGCGGCTACGCGAGAGAGCGCGGATTAGTATTATCGAATATACCTATATCCTCCGGAAAGGGACGATGACTAAGGCGCCGTTTCGACAGAACTTTCGCGGCACGCACACGCGCCGCGTCGAGTCGCGAGCCGCGTTACACTCGGTATCTCATGCGTGAAAACTTTATCAGTCATCACGCCGTGCGTGAAATACGATTTACAATTATCTATTTTCATTTTCCTTTCGTCGATCGAGCACTTCGGAAATGTATAAGCACACGGAAGAAAAATTAGATACACCAAAAAAAAATCATTTTACTCCAACTTAATTTTTACGTCAATCATCATCATTTTTGTCATAACGTGATCTAATTATATCTTACCGTGTTATTCTACACACCAGTTATGAGATTTGTCATATTTCGTGCAAAAATGTTAATAATTGAATAAATTTTTAATTGTGAATATGATTAAACTGGAAACTGACTGAACTGACGCGCGATCAGCTGATGCGCTTTGTGTACAGGAAGCGAGAGAGCAAAGAGAAGGGTCGTTCGCGCAGGTCATGGTTCAATTATTGTATGACGCGTTACTCACATACGGCCGCATCTGCATACATACGGTCATCCCAAATGCTAATGGCATTCTTTGCGAACCTTTCTCTCGCACTGTATATTCCGCGTTACTCTGCACGCGCTTTTCTCATACGCGTTTCGCAATACGCTGGAGCCTGCATCCATTTGTCATTCGAGCGTCTCACAACAATTACAACGGTATTTTGTAACATCGCTGCAATTAGCAACTGTTTGATTGCGGAATAATCTAAATATACAGACTGATTTAAATGCGCGAGAAATACTTTCTTATTAAAAAGAATTAATTTCGTAGACAGCCGCGCAGGATTTACGGCGACACGTCGGTTTAACTAGAAAGTGAAAACAGATGTTTGTATATCATGTTAGTTGAATACGCAAAGCGTAGAATATCGCTTTCATAATTAACTTTTATACTCTAACCGACAACTACAACTATATATATAGTCGAAAGATTTCCATCTTTCCGAGTGCAGACAGTTAATTAAGGCACCATCCATCTTGAATGGTAAACAAGTTTATGTATACTTTTGATATTCGACTAATATTTAAAAAATTAAAATAAATAAAATATTAAATTAAATATATATATATATATATATATATATATATATAATATTAGCAAATTAGAAAACACTTAAATATCAATAAAGTATAAATAAAAATACGTATGAGAGCTTTAAGTGTTAAACATTGAGCGAGTGTTATTCGTACATCGATCATTCGGATCCTTTTGTTGATCGGAAAATGCGACCCTTTGGCCTTTTATAAAGACTTTCACCGCTTGGCTACCTTATCTCCAACTAACACATCGTTAGTTATAAAACTAATCATTATCTCGCGCGTATCTGACGAGATGCGGACGCAAACATGCGCGCAAAACGCGATATAAATTACAGGTGACTGTGTCAAGAAAAAGAAGAAGAACCAATGTATTTTCGCTACAGGATACTGCGAAATCATGAGATGGGGTCAGTAAAAGTAGGGCCGGTAAAGACGGGTCGCGGTTCAATGTCGTTTAGTTATGCGCATCGTAAATGCATAATTTGCAACGATACCGAAGTGTGCGTAACACACTTCGCTAGGATAGAAAAGGAAACGTAGAGATTACACTTCATTATTTCTTAACTATCTTGTTTAACGAATCATAACGAATTAACCGTTTGCTTCTAAAAAGATATATGTCGAATTTATGATAATCTTAAAAATAAAAAATAAAAAATTAATTAATTAAATGCATTAGAACATAGAAAAATTTTATTAAAATTTGGAAATTTTTTTTATACCACTCCTAATAACTTGTATCTTTAATTGCCATATATGTGCCAAGAGAAAGCAGAATCTATAATTCCGTAGAAATTAAAATTCGAATGTTATAAAACGCAAAATACCGTGAAATACTAAGCGCTGAAAGAACGCAATCAATTAACCAAAAGAATGTCTATAGCTATATCGCTCGGTGAAATTAATCGATTTACCGCATAATTATTATGAATGCGATTAATCGATTGAATAGAAAATTACGAAATATCAAAGAACCACTAAAATATGTACGATGTAAAGGTTTCAGTGTCCAATATTAATGATGATTTTAGTGTGATACCGGACGTGTGCGTGAATATATGCGGCTCAATCACCCTCGCGCGAACGCTTTAATTAGAGAATTAAAGCAATTGTACCGCGACGGCCTGCCGCGTTCTTACTTTCGCAAAGTCACGATTCGCGTAATCGACTCGCTATCACTGCTGACGTTGTTTTAATTAAACGCTATACAGCACTTTTCGGGGTATTGGAGCTTCTCATCCTTTCACCTTTCCTTACTCGTATTATTACGAGATTTTGCATTACATTTCGAGAAATGTAAAGTTCGTCACGCATATCGCGAAGACGAATGTTATTTTTTTTCTTTTAAGACATTTTAGACAAGTGAAATATTTGAGAATATAAAAGCCATTATATTATATAAACAATTTTAAAATATACGAGCAAACATTCTATATTCTGTATATGTAATATGTAATATATAAAAAAATTTATATATAAAACAAGAATTTCTAAATATTTGTTATCATATATCATGTTATTTATTACATATAGGTTAGTTATATATATTGTCATATGCATTAGAGAGTATTTTATTTAATGAGAGAGAGTAAATGCATTCACTACACCAGTTTGCAAAATAAATACGAAATAAACACTATGAAGCGCAGTAATAATTTGCGTTTTTCGCGCGAAATCAAAAGTATGATTTTAGTAAGTGAAAATTACGTATGTGTCATTATCAAATTTAATACGTAATAATATGCAAGCTGCAGATTTCTCCTTTTTATATATTTACAAATGATCTTTTATAGAAAACTTTAATGGAAGAGCAAACAATTACCAGACATTCTGCTTTCACAATTAAATTCGACTATGAAACAAAAGCATAATTGTTGAATCGACAGTTTTCTATTCAAGAGCGACAGTCGAATGTCTTTCATAGTTC